GCCGTGTGCTCCTTGTCATGATCTGGAAATAACGTCAATTCAATGTATAAATAATGGACTAACAATTAGTATAAAAAACGTCAGTCAGCATTCGACTCAATGAATTTGTATTTGCGTCACCGGTAGAACTCAGTTCGCGATCGTTAAATCAGCATTAACGGTCGCAAATACCAAATTGGAAGATAGTTATTACCTAAATGTAATAAAGTAGAATAATAACATTTTGCTTAATTACATTTTGTGTCTAGATCAACGCAGAATGTACAAGTAATAATGACAAATGAAAGAACACAATTTACGGATTATTCCATTTTGTGTTATTACCTGCGTAAAAACGTACTTTTCATTCTCACTATTTTTAATCTATAGTCTTTGTTTTAAAACGATGTTATCAAACAAATTTATAACGCGCGTTAGTAGATTAGAAATAAATATATGAGTGTCTGGCGAGGGGGGGAGGCATGAATACTTGTAGGGTAGGTAGAGTGTTTCTCCCCTGTGTTGATCTATGTATTTCGATCCACATGTAGAAACCATCCATTTTATGATTAGAGAGAGGGAGAGAGAAGAAGGGGTGAGAATTTCTTTATTTTGATTCAATTTATAATTTGTAAAATATACACCGTTATTTTCCACGGTATTGTTCAATAAATAAAAAAAAACAAACTTAAGGAAGCAAAGAAATTTTTTGATTTAGTAAAACAATTTCTAAAATAGCTATATATTGCAGTATACAATTTAAAATGACAGAAATGTGTATGGAATGAAAAGAAATCACTTCAAATTGACGTAAAAATTTTACACAATATTCAATATCAACCTGAATAAGTACATGTAATATGAAATGTAAAGAAAGGGATTAGCATTGTATGGACCCTAACACAAAAAAATTTAAAGCGTTTGCGGTATTACACTAAAGCTTGTTTCATTTTTTTTTTCGAGCGTTTTCTACCTCGTATTAGAAATAAATTTTGAACGCATACATAAGATATCGATGACGCATTAGCAAATAACAATAGTTTCTTCATTTAATGTGTCGGCTTGATGTGTCCCATTGAACTTAAAATAATGGATACCGGTAAGTTTGACAAATCGGTTTTATATCTGGATATTCTACTAAAAGCTCCAATGGTTACCTGTACGATACGATAAACATAACAACAATATATTTTACTGTCAAATTTCCTAAATGATTATGAAGCAAACTCTCCTTATTTCCTGCATATGGATTTCACGTTTCCTGGTTGATAATAGCATGCTTTACGTAAGGGCAATTTATAAAACGAAGTAGGCTATGGACAAAGAAGTTGATGAGGTTGAAGAAACAAGAATATTAGCACACTCGTTCGAGGTCACCATTAAACTAATCCTTTGGTAGATACAATGTCAGCAAAAACAATCCATTATTAAGTTGATGTTGACTATTGTGATTATAACGACTGAGCCAAAAAGTTGAAACTTATGCATGTCCTTCTGTACATAGTCTAGATTCAAGTTTATTCAAACGATGACCCCGGGGTTGGGATGGGTGCATAATGGGGGATAAAAGATTCAGTCAGAAATTGATAGGAAAATCAAAAAAATGCTCAATAAAATCAACACAAAGTCCAATTGATAGAAAGGCATCCTCAGATAGTGTGCATTCAAGTTTGTAAAACTTTTAAACCCGGGGAATATAGGATGAGACTACAATTGGAAATCAAAATTGTATGTAGGAATAATCATCTTAAGAACGGCAGAGCCATGTTTAGTCATATTAATATGAATGCATCCTCAGATAGTGTAGATTCACGTATATTGAAAACTTGGGGCGGGTTGGACCATAATGGGGGAACAAAGTTTTACAAAAGGTAATATAGGAAAAATCTTTAAAACTTTCCAAGGGTAGGGTGAAGTCACAATGCAATATCAAAGTTTAACATATGGTTGTAGAGGATTGATTTATTATATGTTGTTTCACGTCCCACAAATTGTTCACTCATTAAGGGGGGACCTATGTCCGAAAAGTCTTTGTGTGAAATTTTCAAAACTTTGACATTTCGTTCCTGACCACTTGCTCTTAATTTTTAGGTATTGAAAACAACACCTTTATATGCTTATTTTTACACAGGAGCACGTGCAAAAACAGTGTGAAATGCTAAAAAATAGATTATTTTCAGACATCACTGTTATACCCAAGATATGCGCTAAAAAGGAACCAAAATGTCAAATCACATTCAAAATCAACAGGTATTTGATTAATATGGCTTTTATCTTTAAAATGAAGGCAAATTCATTGTAATTCATCTCGCATGAAAAGTTATAAAGGAGCACAATGTAAGTATCACGCCGTTTTTCTTGTCGTATTTTTTACAATTTCGACATGCATAATAGGTAATATCTTAAAAAGTCTTTGTGTGAAATGTTGTAATTCATATTTTTTGAAAGAAATGATTCATCTCTTTATTTTAACAAAGAAAAAAGTATACCTATATGATAAAATAAACGAGAAATATGACGTTTTCTCTTATTTTTGTACTCTTGTGTCATAAATATTGACCTTTCTGCACTAAAAAAAAAAAGGCAGGTAAGCACTGACAAACATCTGAATATAAAACTTTTTTTTTGATTAGAAACAATTTTTAATTCTTTTCTTATTCATTCCAATCATTTTGTTTCTCTGCCCCCCCTCCCCCAATGTCCCCGTCAACAACCAATACCTATTAGAACCTAGGAATGACTTTATACAATAAAATCTACATTTTCTATTAATCGAAAAGCAAATATACGCACAAGTATATTTCTTTTTTTTTAGTTTTATCCAGAAAAATACAATCAATGGTAAACATAAAATTAAACATATTTCCCTGATTTAAGCCGCTTTCTTTGCTGAATTTTATCTTATCTTTTTTCAATTTTATATCAGCATATCATCTATGTATTTCTTCAAAACTGAAATTGCTATGAATTATCAACCAAAGGAAGAGAATTCTAATTTGAACAAACTCCATTAATCAAATAAAAGTGTTATTAATGATGAATAAATTTTCTTCTTGTAAATTTTGTACATTATTGATTATTAACAATGTTATGTCTATATCACAGTTGCAAAAGTCAACAGGTAAAAACAAACTTCGCCATTGTGACGTCACATAACGCTGCATTGACGTAGAACGACATAGGTCCCCCCTTAAGATAAAGGACTTTAAATATGGAACTTTAATCGACACTTAGGGACATTGAGCAATGATGGTTCTTTATAATATGGTGTCAACGCCTCCCGTTACAAAGGGCATTGGATTTTAAGGTGACATCCAAAGGACCTGCAACTTTCACTTCAAAGTGAAGAGCGCATGGCGATGGAACAATTGCTACGCGTTTTGTATTGACTAGGTTCGTTTGTTTGTTGCTTTGAATATATTTCATTGACAACATGTCGAAGGGATTGGACAACCGGTCCAAAACCTGCTGAGATTTAAACTCATCCGAGCGCTCTACAAACGAAGCTACCGTGAACGGTAGAGATAAAGAGAAAAAAAAAATATTTTTTCTCAAAAATAAATGGACCTTGCCATTTTAGCCAGGAGGAGGAGATATCACTAAATAAACTCATTGCTCACAGTACCTCGAGTTTCATGCATTTTTTCTTTCTGGTATAAGTGGAAATATACCCAATTAACAAAGATAACACCAATACTGGTGCTTTCTCTGACCTTTGATTTAAGTGTAATTCAAGTGTATTTTCTGCCTTGACTTTTGGAAAATCCCTCCATAATTTAACTCCATAACTCAAAATACTGTGAGTTATTCAAAAACTCATAGTTGTATTTCTGCATTAGAATGTGTTTCTTTTATTTCAAGAATTACATCATACAAATCCTTTTTACCCTTACATTAAAATGATTAGTAAAATATGCAAATAAAACTGAACACATTTCCTAGATAATGAAATTTACAACCACTTCATGCAACCGTTGTAAATTTAACATTCATTATAAAGCATTTTATGACTGCTAGTATTATGACTACATAAGTATATGAAAAAAATTAAAAGCTTTGTTTCTCAATATTTACTGTTCAATTTCATTCCTTGGTTTATGTATGTAAAATATCCAACATCTGCATTCATCAGTATAAATAAAAACGTTCATCTTAAAATCGATTGATTATTATTAAGTGGTGTTCAAGGTCATTCAAATAAATAGAAAATAACAATGGTGATAAAAAATTCTTGCATCACATAATACATAATTTTGAAATAGTATGTATGTAAACCATAAACATCGTACACATGCCACAATAGTATCATATATCTGATGATGTTTTTTAACGTCCCTCTCGAGTTTTTTTTTTTTACTAAAATGGAGAGCTACACTCGCAGGTGGAGAGCTGCAAACTTTTTCCTATACCGGTATTTACTTAGGGCAATTGAGCGTTAAATGATTTTGATAATCCATGAATCAACAATCAAGTTTTACCTTAAAAAATAATAAAACTAGCGCCTTTACATATTAGGTTCATAATGCATAAATGGTTCATATAGTCTTACACCATAATCGCACACTTGAGAACACTTTCGTTTTTGTGTTTGTTTAAACAAAAGTTTAGTTACTTGTTTTAAAAAATACTTGTTTGTGTTTCTTATCACTATTTTAGACAAGATAACTGATGACTTTTAATTCCTCCTTTGAATTTTCCATCAAATAAAGCTTATTGTCTCTGGAAACGCTCACATCCTGCGGACAGTGAAGTTTACAGTTGTCAATAAAACGGAGAAAGTGCCCATTATGATCAATAATATGTACCAGGTTATTGAGAAAGTCGGTTACCAAAATATGAGACAAGCTGTCACACGCAAGGCCTCGGGGATTAAACTTATCTTTATATTTTGTCAAAGCCCTGTTTCCTTTATAACTGAAGATAAACTCTCCATCGCTATCAACAACCTCTACAGAGTTCTTATCCCAGTCAGAAACACAAATATCCAAATTTGTATTTTCACATATGAATAAAGGGTTTGATTACAAAGGTGTACTTGAATCTTTGTACTGAATTTCTTGTGAAGCTGTAGTCCCAGAGTATCGGAAAACTTTACTTTGTGTCTCATCATCTGTTTGCATTGAAACTAAAATAGCACCAGTAGAGGAAGAACAAATGGCCAATGGTTTCCATCCATCAAATGTTATTAGAGTTTTTATTTTGTTATCTTTTACAGAATTAACACTTCTGTCGCGATTGTCACTGAAAAACAGAGTGTTATTTTTCAAAACTGTTATATCAATGAGAAAATGACTTTCTGATTTTAATTTTGTCACACTTAACTCTTTTCCAGCTGCGTTGAATTGTTTGATAGTGTTACCAGATCTAACGTAACAGCCATCCGATTCGAGACAACAAGAAATTTTTTGTGAGACTTTCAATCCAGTTTTCCATGTTCGAATTATTTCTGGTACTTTGAGGCCCTCTCTTTTGCTACGAAGATTAGTCGCAGAAGGTATAGGATAAGGACAAATTTCTCTTCTGACAGAACAGGTTAGCACCCCAAACAGCTGACTTAATGTTTCCTGAGGGACCCTTTGAGACACGAAAGATGGAGGCGATAATTCAATTAATTTTTGTACTTCCCGAAATCTTTCATTTTCCGACTCATGTTTCAAAACATATTTTATGATTTTCGTCTTTAGAAGATTTTCGTTTTCTTTAATAATTTTCTGAATCTCAGAGAGAATTGATTTCATATCTGAAATCTGCTTTCCTATAATGGAAAGGTCTTCTTCCTCCAATTTCTTTGCTTCATTCAGATGCCTTTGGATGATTTTTTCCAGTTCCTGGTGAAGATAGGTGCCCTGCTCAGTTATATTTTCTCGTACCTCTTTGTGGGATCTTTCCTGAAGTGTTCTTTTATGTTCTAGATCAGATATAAGTATTTCGTATCCTGGTGCAAGACAATGTTGAAGCTCTTCTGTCTCTTCTCTAAGCTTTTCCAAAAGCATTGTGTATTTAAGGAAATTTCAACCAGTTCATGATTTTTATGTTTTTTTGATGCAAGACATTTTGCACATACAGGTATGTCGCAAACACTGCAAAACATTATGCACTTCCCCATGTGGGTATCACAGTTTAATACATCAAAACCCTCTTCCGTTGGCCTATCCTTGTGACCAACAATAGTATGCTGTGTTGATGGCTCCGAGTTCTTAATGTGGACACCTACGCACTCACTACATAAGTCAGCATTGCATGTACTGCATAATCTATCAGCAGGCGATTTATATTTCTTGCTGATACATAAACCACACCGGACTACATCCTGTGCATCAGACGAATCTTTAGATTTTGACATGATTTCTCTGAGGAGAAAAAATATTCAAATAAGTGCAAAATTTCAACTTCACATCATCTTAACATTTTTGTTGCCATGATAGATGTTTACAATTTTTATGTTTAAACGACTTAGCCTTACCTGCTTCATTTAATGTCTCTAGTTAAATCTTCTCATTGAACCGACAGCCCGTGATATATACGTGTTTGCTTTTTCAATTTTAAAGTCTTTTATAAACATGTTTACCGAGAAACAGGTCATATCTATCAACAAACCTCCCTTTGAGATTCTTTAATAAATCTTTATCGAACCATTCATAATTTACAATTCAGTCTTCTCTTAAGCTGAATTTTAATTATGACAGGCATCATGTCATATTTGTCACGAGCTGGGGTTATTTCTTTACTTTTAAATAATAAGCAGCAATCAACAATACATTTTGTTCAACGCTTTTTTTTATTAGCAATGAATAATACTGTGGATATTGCGGGAATAATATTTCTCGTCAGTCCGTGTCTGTAAAGTTAAATGTCTACATTCAGAGAGGAAAATAGTAGTATATCCTATTAATTCTTCAAACAATTGGTTGTATGACGCGTACGAAGAAAATATCATGATAACTTTTATGAAAAACATAAATAACATAAAATATATGTTGAACTTTAATTTTTTTTCTGTCAAAATAGTAATGAATACGTAGTAAGTTGCAGAAAATGTATTTACCTTCATACAAATCTTTACAATAGAAAACAAGCTATTCAAAAAAGTTGTGCCCCCTCCGCCCTGTTCGGTGGCCTTGTTGATGAGATTTCATTATCTATTGCATATTGTGTATAATATGAACACTCATGTATCATTTAAAATTATCACCATAGTTGAATTTTAAATTAGGTTAAACATGAAAATAAAGGGGTTAGAAATCTTTTAAGCATGCTTATCTATATTTTAAATATTTTGTCACAGGTAAAGCACATTTCAAATATGAAAACCCTACCTCTTCTATATAAAAAATGAAACAGAGGAAATTTTCTATTTATTTATTAATTTATGTTGTTTTTTTTTTGTTTTGTTTTTTTTTTATTTTTTTTTTTTAAATAGGTTAACATCAATTCTCCAAGCCACGGGGTCAAAAAAGATAATATTTTTAGAAAGGGTTTGTCTCAGGTAATATATATTTTTGATTTAAAAGCCCTATCTCTTCTCGTTTTATCAAAGGTATGGACAATTTAAAGTTATGTTCAATTTTTTTGTAAAAGTAGTTCAAATATCAAGGCCGAGGTTAAGTGGCAAAAATCATAGTGTATTTAGAAAGGTTTTCACAGATATTACCCATGTGTAATATGAAAGTCCTATCTCTTCTCATTAAAAAAAATATGACCAAGGGTAAAGTTTCTGTGTCCGATGGACAGACTGACAGAGAGACAAATAAATGAGCTATAATGTCCCCTCACTTTGGCGAAAGCGGAGGACAATAAAAAGACGGCCTTTCTCCTTAAGATTTATTATTGAGAGCAAACATATCTGCTGCTATTTTGTTTTGTTTTATGAACTTTTGAGCATGAATACTGCTATATCTCCATTTATTCTTCATCTATATAAAATATTTGCACGATGTTAATGTTGACTTTTCACAGACAGAAATATTTCTATCTTCGTTTCATCCTCGATTTGTCTGAATTTTTCCAGAAGCATTCGAGCGTTTTACATTAGATTTCATTATTGTAGAGGAACATAATTACAAAAATTCGACTTGCAAAATACACTGTAAGCGAAATCCACGATTAATCATGTATCTTCAATTAACAAAGGCATGCCTCGTACTGTTTGAGAGGCTACTTTGAGTAATAAGGAACGTAAGAAAATTTTAAAACACCACTGAAAGTTTTAATGAAATTATATAGAATAAAATCATAAGATGAATTTCGAAATATTTTTGCAGAATATTACAGATGATTTATTGAATAACATGAAGTACAGGATTCCAGAAGAAATATTGGACCTTTTTGTTATGACGTTATTTGAAAGCATTTCAAACATGAAGTACAGGATTCCAGAAGAAATATTAGATCTATTTGTTTTGACGTTATTTGAAAGCATTTCAAACTTTAAGAAATGTATTGTAACGACTGACACCAGTGTGCAAACCAAAGGCAGATCCTGGCAATTTAGACATCTTGTTAACCTTTGGGCAAACCCATACTGTTTTTATTTCTACATTGAATAGAAAACGCGTTTTCTGTTTTAAGGGGGGACCTATGTCGTTCTACGTCAAGGCAGCGTTATGTGACGTCACAATAGCGACGTTTGTTTTTACCTGTTGACTTTGCAACTGTGATATAGGCATAACATTGTTGATAATCAATAACGTACAGAATTTACAAAAAGGAAAATTTGTTCATCATTAATCACAGTTTTATTTGATTTATGGAGTTTGTTAATATTAGAATTCTCTTCCTTTGGTTGATAATTCAAAGCAATTTCTGTTGTGAAAAAATACCCCGATAATATGCTGATATAATAGTGCAAAAAAGAGATAAAATTCAGGAAAGAAAGCGGCTTCAATCAAAATGTTTAATTTTATAATTACCATTAATCGATTTTCTGGAGAAAACTAAGAAAAAAATTAAGAAATGTACTTGTGTATATTTGCTTATTGATTTATATAGTACATGTAGATTTTATTGTATAAAGTCATTCCTAGGTTCTAACAGGCATTGGTTGTTAACGGGAAATGGGGGGGGGGGGGGGAGAAACAGAATGAATGGAATGTAGAAATTTTTTTTATCTATTTAAATTGTTTCAAATCAAAACAAAATACTCGTTTTCCGCAAAATAGTTTTATATTCAGGTGTTTGTCAGTGCTTACTTACCCTTTTTTAGTGCAAAAAGGTCAATATTTATGACACAAGAGTACAAAAATAAAAGGAAACGTCATATTTCTCGTTTATTTTATCATAAAGGTATACTTTTTTCTTTGTTGAAATAAAGAGATGAATCATTTCTTTCAAAAAATATGAATTACAAAATTTTCACACAAAGACTTTTTAAGATATTACCTATTATGCATGTCGGAATGACAAGAAAAATGGGGTAATACTTACATTGTGCTCCATTATAATTTTTCTTGCGAGATGGATTTCAATGAATTTGCCTCCATTTTAAAGATACAAGTCATATGAATTAAATAAGTGTTGATTTTGAATATGATTTGACATTTTTGGTTCTTTTTAGCGCATATTTGGGGTAGAACAATAATGACTGAAAATAATCTATTTTTAGCATTTCACACTGTTTTTGCACGTGCTCCTATAAAGGTATTGTTTTTAATACCTGAAAATTAAGAGCAAGTGGTCAGGAAAGAAATGTCAAAGTTTTGAAAATTTCACACAAAGACTTTTTGGAATACAACCGATCACGACAAGGAACACACGATGAAGGTATGACTAGTCATATATATTCTTCTCATGTCTCATGATACATTTTCTGAAGATTTAAGATGTCATGTCTGCTGATGATTTTTGAAATATTTTTTTACTGAATACAACAGATTCATATATATGTTGAATTTAAAAATTTAAATAAATGTTAGATTTTTATGTTATGGTGTTCTTATCAAGCACTAAACTGTATTTTTACGACTGACATCAGAATACCAAACCAGTGACAGATCCCGGCTATTCAGACACCTTTGGACAATTCCTTATTGTTTATATTGCAATTAAAATATATTAATAGCTTGAGTTCGAATAATTTTATGAGGGCAATACAAAGTCTTGTGACTACTTACTTCATCTGTAAGTCGAATGCTAACTGATGGTTTCCATTATTATGCTAAGGCCATTGAATAGAATACGCGTTTTCCGTTAAATTTCCCGATCATGAGAAGGAATTGAACACACGATGGGGGTGTGACCAGTCAACATTGGATGCTTATCCTCTCTGAAGATATTGGAAGTCATGTTTGCTTTACTTCTGATTTGTTTTGTCTTAATGGACTTTTAAGCTTGATAACTGTTTGTTATCGCCATTGATTGTAATTCATAGTGGATATCCGATGTATGAAAGATAATAAAATAAAACCATAACGAACGCCTTCTAATTCCTGGGCCATGTGGGTTAATTTTAATAGATTTCTTATTTTCAGATTTGTCTATTAAAATGGATAAAATCATAATCAGATTAATTTACCTATATTGGCATATTTCTGCTATCGCTTGTCGGATGTTTACATCGACTGTGCAGAGGTTTATGTAAAGATACTGTATCATTTGTTTTCAGCATGTTTAAGATACTAACTTGTCACCATAATATTTGACAAGTCGACATAATTTACATAGCTATTTGACTCGTAATATGTTATGTCGACTTGTCAGAAAAGATGTTGACAGGGCAAAGATGAAACAGGGCAGCTGGCTAGACAAGGAAGGAGTCCGACAAAAGTTATCTTACAATAAAATCCGGATAACGAATCCCAGAGTCTGCAGTTCTAGCTAAAGTCGTTTTATGACGTGTTGCCATCTCTAACCAATTTTACAACATGGGGCATGAGGGACGAACAAAACTACAACGCAGCTATGTTAAAAACCGATATGGAAAATGTGACCTTTGCATCGTTTTAATGTGTATTACTTCTTTTGAAAAATTGTAACAATACAACTGAATATTTGTAGAAAATGTGATATAGCTATCAATAATGGATAGGCTGGGGCCGTAGTTATTACCAGTCATATCGCTTGTATCAGCTGATCGTCACGTGACTTATATAAAAATAGAATTGTTAAGCTGAATTTAGGAAATGAGGATAGTGCAAGGGCATACGCTTGTTTTTCAAGAAAAAAATTAATACACATTAAAAGATGTTTATATCCTCTACCCAAAAAGTGCTGGGAGCTAGTCAGTACTGAAAATTTTGCCTCAAATGCTTATAATAGCTCAACATTTCCATTTCGCTTAAATTCCGTTATAAATAAAATTAATGTTATGCAGACCAGGATCAACTTCCAGCACATTTCAAAATATACTCTATATAAACAATAAATATTCCAAATTTCAGCTCAAACAAAATAGTCTATGCCCTTGCACTTTTGATGTAAATCACAAATACGATTATTGTTTTAGCGATATTCTCTACATTCCTTGTCCCTGTGCAGCTCCAATGCTTCTAGATAAATTCATATTCTTAATAAATTATTTTCAGTTTTAATGATTAGGTTTAAAAATTAGCGATGATATCATATTTATTTAAGCATTCTTGTAATTATTAAACCAGTGAATCTTGTCCTCTAGGTTACCTGTGCTGCGTCATGTCAAGGCTGATGACGTCATATTTGACAAAAAAACTTTCTTCTATTACTCGACTGTATTGCTATCAAGTATTGTAATTTTACAAGATTTTATAAATAATAGTTCAACTTGTTATTTGAGCATGATCATGTCGTTAAATAATTTTTGTGGCTTGTTAAATTTCAATTACATCACAATTAAACTTCCAATACGGTGTACAAGGAATGTGAACGCTGACCTTCCTTAACATAGCTGAGAATCTTTGTTATAGACCAGCCAACCTGGAACATATTCTGTCTTCATGTGTAGTAGCCTCAACAGATAGAAGATATGCATGGAGACACTTCAAAATTCTATCTGTTATTACAGACGTGCTGGAAAAAGCAAGAAACCCCTGGAGAGCAAGAAAGGCTTGAAGTTTGTTAACTTTGTAAAGGCTGGTGAACAGGTACTTATGTCAACTTGACATGTAAACTGATGGAATAAAGTATATTTGAATTAATTGGCTCATCTGTATGTTGATTTGTTTTAAATACGTGAATAAGTGACAAGTTAACAACAAGATGTGACATATTGACACACGTTTTACAACAAGATCTGAGAAGAAGACATAACGATCTGATAAAAGATGGGAGCAGAAAAATGCTACTTATTTTAATAATTTGAACAGAAATTGCGTTGACATTTACAGACATCTTTTTTATTCTATTGCTGTAAAAAGATTTTGTTGATGGAACATGATATATAATGATGACATGAAAAATTAAATTTTCTTTTTTATTACTTGTTACCACTAGGTTAATTAAGCATATTTAAAGCCATGTTATTAATAATATTGTTTTAAATATATTCCATACAACTCAAGAAAAAAATACATCGAACACTAGAAAGTTAAGTTGAGTCCTGCTTTCTATAATTACATGTGTACTATTAAATTTTATTTGAAAAATTATTAGCATTTCTACAATTTGAGCCACGAATTTACCATTGAAATAAATAAATTTTGTAATAGAAATTTTAAGAATTCTCTCTTTTTTAAGAATATAAGAGCACGTATATTCAGATATAGTGTATGGAGAATACATATTATTGTAGATGACTTGATGTTAGAAAAAATAAGGTCAATATAATTGTTATTATTAGGGTCATTAGATACGGCTTGTTCATTTAAAATACAAGACAATAAATGTATCTCGTGAATGACACTGCGTAGATACCATCAAACATTGATCAGTGCCGGTACATTTAGATCTGCTATTTTAATCACGATAATTAAATGTCTCACATTTAATTCATATAAAGTTAATTTAATATTTGAGGTTAAGTGTTTATCATGGAGATTAAGCCGACCTCAAAATTCAAAATAATCACCATTTTGTTTTTGTTTCAACTTCTCTCAAACGTAGGTAAGATAGACGAAATTACGTACAAGAGAAAGGGGCATTTTAATTTAACTTTTAATTGATTTATGAAATGTTTGTCATTGATTGCATACATGTTTAATACATTATTTAGAAAAAGTTGCATCATTGAGCAGTACAACATCGAGCACTGAACATGAAACCACCACGGAGACAGAAGAATCAACTACCACCACCACCACCACAACAACAACAACCACAACAACAACAGCAGCTTCTACCACGACAACTGACGAAGAAACAACGACAGAAGCAGATATGACTGCAGCAAACTCAGGCGCCACAGAAATCACAACGGCAGAGCAGTCTGTCACTTCAGTTTCCTCGGACATTGATACCACGACCAAAGATGGCACTACAACACAAAATGTAGAAAGTTCATCAAGTGAAAGTACGACCACAGAGGTAATGTCTATGACAGACGAGGACGAATCATCGAACAGTACGACGGACGTCACCTCTCCAATGGAAAGCAGCACCGCTGACGTCACAACAGTTGCGAACACGTCAGTGGGAGCAAAAACGAATGACTCTCAACTAAATTCACCACAGCAAGAGGACAATAATAGTAAGTTATTTTGCAAAATATTTGTTCTTATAAGAATCCGTAATATATTTTAAGAAGGGCTTGCTCTCAAGTATGCACTTCAAATCCGATCTTTACGTACATTTTTTATTCCTTTTAATTTTTCAGCTGGTACCACTATAGTTATTGTTGTTATAGCAGTGGTGATCTGTATGTCAGCTGTCATAGGAATCGCGGCTATAGTGTATAAAACAGTAGTAAAAGTACAGGTAAACATTTCATTTTAAAATACAATGTAACGTTATATATCATAAATAGCATAAAGTAAGGTAAAGATTACAAATTACGTGTATACTCAGATATAAAACTTTCACAATTTAAAAGTTCAAGTGTTATTACAGTTATACGTTCTTTGTATATAAAGGTATAAATAATTTATGCAAAGTGCGAGAAATTTGTTAAAAAGAGGGAATTAAGACGCAATCTATATATCTTGTTTATTCTGGAAGTTAATTCAATTGAATACTGATAAGTAATCATTGCATGCCACAAAGTACAAAAACATAAACGTTTTACAATTAAACTTTCCAGTGTAATTACTTTCAGAGATGTCATATTTCTTTGTTAATGTACGTTAACCTAAAAAAAGATTAAGGAAATTAAATTAGGGATCTTAAGGCGTTATCCATTAATTATTATAGCTTTTCTCATCAGAGGACTTTATGTTATTCGTTGTTAAAACAGTGGACTCACTATAAAGTAATAACACTTTGAATTAATTTACTTATACTAAAGGAACATCACTCTTGTATTTAAGAATCAATATTTTTTTTGGTTTTCAAATATATCCTTGTTTAATTTTTAATCTAATGTTATTTTAATTACAGGTTGATACCATAGAATATGACCCTGAGGAATACAGAGGCATTAAAACAAACCCATTTGACGAAAATGGAATGATTCTGTGGTATGAAAGTGCACAAGTGGCTCCATTAATGAGTGAACTTACGATTATCAAGACTCCCTTAGAATCTGTTCCTGTTCCTGAAAACCTAGCTCAGAATAAAACAAAAGTCAATAAAAGAACTCAGAAAAAGCCAAAACGACGAAAGCCAAGGAAAAAGATAATTTCTATATACCACTGATCAAATTGATTTCATTGTTACGACAATAGGAAATGGAGCTTTCTAAAGTTACTAAGAAACGTCTTATTCATATTATTAGCGAGTTAAACATCATTGAAATTTACATATGCATATGACAAAAAGAACATTTAAATCATGTTCAAAAGAAGAAATAAAGATTACAGGAAGGAAAGGAAGGTTTGTTACGTCACAATCATCATTAAAATTTACAAAAATGACTTGTTACCAAATGATGATAATGTATTAGGGCAGATTGTTTTGTAAGATGTACTATATCAGTTACAGATAATGTTGTTTTCCCTACCGTGGAATCACATTTTACCATAACAGGTAGTTCTAGATACAGTATATGGAATCACTATTATTGATTTTATAAATTTAAAAATACATTATTTATTTTGTTTGATTTTTTCCTAAATTTACAGGTATTTTCATACTTTTTGTAAATTTTGCCTTTAAAAATATTAATAAAAGTCAATGATGGTCCCTACTGATTATTCAAGCAAAGAGACCAAATTTAAGAGAGGTATCTTAAAAGAGCAAAATCAATTATTCAAACCAGCCATTATTGTTATGCATTGATGTGGTAGATGGATCGAATATTCTGCTGTATTAGTTTTTTTTTCTTTTTAAGCCTAAAAATAAGTCTGAAACACTGTTGTCAAAATACGGCACAGTGATATGTTTCCTTATCAAACAACGTGATCGTCTTTAAAAAATATCAATTTAATTGTAGTCTATGGACGATAAGATTGTTGAAAAATCACTGTAACATCAACTTTTTTGTCGATGTGAGTGTTTTAGTCGATGCTCTTTCGTATCAATTAAGTATCAAAACACTTTCTGCATGTGAAAGTGGCAGAAAATTACTCCATAAAGCACAACGTTCATAATTCAACACTTTAGTTCATTTATTTTCATTTTCAAAAAATTTAATAGTTAAGTAGCCCTTATCATTCTTAGTTGGCAAAATATCTAAATATGAAATGAATGTATCAGCCTCTGTGCAGTCGCTTATTTTAAAATATGATATATCGAATTTGCATATTAATGGGAGAACGTACGTTTGCTTGTTTGTTATTTTATAGCCCCTCTTAATTTTTTTACTGAAAATGGAGACGTTGCCACTTGCCTTGAGTCTTTTTGACTTATATGTGGGTCTCATGGCCATTGAGCCGTGAAGGCTTCTTTCGTGTTGATCATTACGTCGCAGTTTCTAATCTCAATTCGGAACGTGAAGACTGGTCCTTTGGATGAGACCGCGGAAACTGACGCCCTGTGTTGCAGGTACATGCTGGCTCTAAATAGATACCCCACTGCTCAATGGCTCTGATTCCCGGGCAAAACTCTTTATTTGTAGTCCTTCACCGGTAAGTGACGGTGCCTCGATTTAAGTGGAAAAGGTGTTAAAAGAACAAACATCCAATCTGTATATTTTTTGTACTTTTGTTTAATATATACATAAAAAAATAATCGGATTATATGCATATACACGTTTGTGATTTGATGTTTTGCAAACTACAATATAAGTAAAATTCCTAAAAGAATGTGTATTCAACACATTGAAACAAACATTTATTTTAAACGAGCATGAAGTCGCAATTATAAGGAATAATGTAAATTAAATATAATTTTAAAAAAAAATAACATTAATTGCATTTAAATATGTGCTGTGCTCAACACAAATTGTACATTCCTCATTCAAAAGTCTGGGTAACAGACGAAAAGTAGATTTTAAATACACGTTTTTTATGAATTATATGTACGAGTATTTGCGAAAATGCACATACTTTAAGTATCAAAAAAATACTGACTTTAAGAATCAAAAGGATGCTATGGAAATAAAATTTTGTGTCAAATTACATAACAATCACATAACGGTCTTCTTGGCTTGAAAATTGAAAACCATTTTAAATATTAATATTCTCAAGTAAAAAATTGATATTTGCCATTTTGAATAAATGTGACATGGAGTAAAATTTGTAAGTATTTTTTTTTAATTACGATTGGTATCAAAAAGTTCGTGGACTAGCGTCATAAAATTAAAACCGCTTTAGGTACATCAAAGAGATTAAGAATGACTAGTTAGCATCATTTGTTCTATCAACAGAAAAAACAACAAATCATAAATTCTATTTTTAGATAAACTAATAACGTTTTTGTAAAAAATGCTATGTCCAGACGGTGCAACCTCGAAGATGTTGGTTTTTATTACCCAAGCGTAACTGAGAAAAATTCTTGATGTGAACATTTGACATCCAAAAATCCCATTAATTCAGGTATGTGTTGCGACATATAATATGGAATTTTTACCTTCTCCTGGAAGTTTCATGAAATTTTATCGTTAATTTTACATCGAGTGTCTAAACAAACAAGGTCGTGAAAATGACGTCTAAAAGGAGAAGGGTTTCCTTTCCCAACATTCTATAAACTTTTGCTCGTGAAAAAAACTAATATAGACTTAGGAAATATTTGAACTGGCTACGGAGAAATGATATGCATCCAGAATACTTGTTTTTTTCGTTTTTTTTTTTTTTTTTTTTTTTTTTTTTTTTTGCCACAATTGAATCAGAGAGAAAAGGGATGCACAGTTACATCGTTTTGTAGTCAAGATGTGAAAATTGAAAAAAATAAAAGTCAAAAATGTGTCACATTGATATTAAACTCCTAAAACCAAAATATGCTGGTACTATTAAGAGACGATCTCTCCTAGGTTTAAGTCCTAACTCAGCTCAAGAAAATATCTTCAAAATAAGTGTATGGGGTAGAAGAAACGTACATTGAAAAACAATGACGTTGTCGGACGTCATGAAACTTAAAGGCGACGACGCCAGGTGATCATGTAAAATCGTTTTTATTTTATAATAATCTGGCAAATAATGAACGTATCGAGCTGAAATTTTCAACATTTCTTTATTTGATGTTGTTTAATGTTCCTTATAAATTTGGGAAAATACAGACTATTTAGTACTAATTTTATAGCCTCAGTCCACTAACTTTTTGATAACCCTTCGTACTTTGAGGTTTCTTGAGATGAGAAAAGGTTATATATCTACAATGTACATCCTCAATGATGTGCTTTACCCGTTTCAATTATTCTACGAGTGTTTTGATTTTAAAAACAATAACAATACAGTTATTGTCTCTAAATATAGAAAAATATTTAGAACACATGTATATGAACTCAATCAATAGTAAGTCGACAATATATCATATATTGATGATTAAAAGAAAAAGTAACTATATCAAAATGTGACTATATCAAAACTCTCAGTTCAAATAAATAAACCTACATACACCGGAATTTATCTATCCTAAAGGAAATGGTTCTGTTTGAAGCAAAAAGATAACAGATTGCATATAAATAAAATTATAAATACACTCAATAGTACATCAGATATGCTTACTCTAAACAAACTGTCATTCACGAGTTAATACAGGCCTCGTTTGCGTATAAGAATTGGTTTACAGAAATCAAGCATAATATGTTTTACTAGAAATATCAGCTTGTATGTTTTACATACAAGAAACACGAATTTTCTCGTGCCGAAATTTTATCCTTGAGCAAAATATTCTATAAATGTTACCGATATATATAATTTTCCATTTCTATAATGAATGCCTTTAGAAGGAATTCTTATCCTGGATGCACAGCACCACGTAAAGTGTATTTTTACAATATTCTAGAAGTTCCTGGTGCTATACTTCAGTAGGTCACTATACATGCGTGTCAGCAAACGAATTCGTACTACCTGTAATACTGGTGCTGACTGGAAAATACTGCTTGTCACCTATAAAAGGCAAATTAAAGTAAGAAAGACAAGTTAAATAAAGTTTATAATCTGCAAATGACCAAAGTTATTCTAAAAAGGGAAGTACTATTTTACTCAAATAGATCTCTTTTTATCTTACCAAAAGTCTTTTTTGTCGACGAAGAATACTTAGGGTAGCGAGTTAACTGGACGGCATGTAAGTTTAATGCTGAATTTTCTTCTTCAGTTCTTATCGTGACCCCTTTTCCAAGGTCATAAATCGTGGTCACTTCAGAAACAGGACAATCTGCTGTTATGTACAAAATAGAAAAATATATAATCTAAAATCAGTTAGGAATAATTTCACATCAAAAACAGTATTAAAGACATTCTAGAAAACGTTACAATTATACCAAGATTTTCTCTTGAAAATTATTCCAAAATGAATTATAAATGATGTATATTTTGTATGAATATCTTACAAACCTTCAAAATCATCTGTATCATTATAATTTTTGGTTGCATATGCCTCTACACGTGGTTTCAAAATCCGATGCTGTGAGTGCTGGAGGTCCTTAATTGCAAAGAAATGAGATAATATATGTTTTATATATTAGATTTTTTTTGCTAATTATTAATGCATCAAATGTTAAAATTTTACACAAGGGATAAGCTGTCAAATAACAAATAAAATCTATTTGAGGAGTTTCTAGCTTGCCTTTTCGCGCTTGCTCTCCAGTAACAACCTCTCTTTAAGGTGCCCACAGTTCGGTTTCCACCGTTCGTGTTCCCGTATGGGAATATCCTGCTTCTCCCAGGAATGTACGTGTATATTGCAGCAGTAACACTGCACGTGATCACCATAACCTTAAAAGGATGTTACACAAATTCATATATTTTTCTTTAGGTCACTTTCTTAATATGCAAATTCTTTATTAAATTTTTCATTATTATTTATAATTATATTTTTTTCTTACCGAGGTAGAAAAATCCAGCATTAGCCATTTGTACTGGATCCTGAAATTCTGTTCCAGGCCAGGAGGCTGTGAAAGACATCAATCTTTTCTCAAATGACGAATATCCCACTCTCTGAAATTGATGTACTCTATTATAGGAAAGACTGCAAGTAGACGTTTTGGGAAATGTTTTTGATTAAAGTTAAGTTATGGGTCCCACAATTATTTATTAAGGGTAATGTAAAATGTGTCAAATGTAACCATAGATATAATTTCAAAAATATTTCATCATGCAAATCAGTAAAAAAAAAATTTAATCCTTTTTTTGGTCAAAATTTTAAGAGAAATATCCCAAACATTGTTTGACATCAATGATATTATAATTAGTACCAAAAAAATCTTTTAGTTACCAATTTCTCGTTGCTGTATGCAGGATAGCCTGTTTTAAGATACTTGCACTTTGGTCTCCATCTCAGATGTTCAGTCCATGGATCACAAGAGCTATCCCAGCATTTGATGCCAACTCCACAAGAGAAGCATCGAACGTGATCAGCAGTGTCTGTTTAAGTATGATAATATAGATACAGATATGCATGACCAGGATACATTACTCAGGGTAACTCTATCCTGTAAAATGTAAGCGAGGTTCTCTTTCTTTTCGTTCATCACAAAGGGCAAACTATTGCATATAATCTACTCATCTTCAATGAAATTATATGTAAGCTGTGTTTATCTAATTTTGAACTGAAAAACACAATTTAACGAAATTTGTTTTAATTGAACACCTGTGAAAGGTGAATTTCAATCCTTCTAAATACGACGTATTGATCAAAAATAGACCCTCTACATTTTAGAAGTCATGATGATCACATAATGTTTTTTTCCCATTACACGTAGAAAGGTGGGCCTACAAATTACCTGTAGAAAAGAACCCAGCATGGGCCAGAAGGCGTGGATTTGCTATCCCTGGCCAGTTTTTAAAGGTCTGGAATCTCTTTTCATAAGTCTCGTAGTAACGATATAATGGATTTTTCTTTTGTTTAACTGCTGACATTTACCTGCAAAAACTTTATGATACATATAATGGTTATTTTTGTGACTTCACCATGCACCATCGTTATTTTTAACACACATATATAATATGATTTCACGTTTCAATGATTTAATCTACCCGTAATGTCTATTTTTAAAATTGGAATTTCCCTTCCTTGTCCATAAATATATTTCAAGCGAAACACACCCATATTTTTTATGTACCGGCATTTAAATACCTTGCGAAAAGAAAACTTGTTTTTAAAAAAAAGTATCAATTCATATATAAGTGGTGTCAATATTCCGTCCTTTCTTTCATTCTTATTAATGTTTAAGTACGTTTACAAATGAAATACCGCATAAGAAAACAAATCATACTATACATTCATAAAATAATGTTCATCATTAAAATTTATAAAAATGCTTTAAATTAGATGTATATTAAATTAAAGCTGGTTAAATTTGCGTTATAAAACAATTGATAAGCATATACATACCAAAGAAAATGTATATCTAGCGATACTCAATAAGTCAGTCGGTTATCTCATGTACTAGGACATGCGTGTTTGTAGAGTAATGTGTGATTGAGCAATACTGTATGTTATTTATAGACACTGAAATTCCGTTGTTTTGTTATTCTAAGCTTCTGTGGTGTTTTCCTTATTCATGCTATATTTATCGAACGAAGTTACTTATTTAAGACACTTGCCTCCGGTTTTTATTATTTCTTGTATTCAATTTTTAAATTGTTGAACTTCTAACTGATCAAAAATTAGTTAACCTTGTACATAGAAGTAATCAAATTACCCTTTTTAATAAAATAATCATTATTACATTATTGTTTCTAAACTTGTTAAAAAAATTAAGACAAGTTCTTGTACAAAATATAATTAGTAACTAGTACTTAATGTAAAATACCTTAGGATGTGGAGAGGCTTGGTATTGTCAAAAGACTACAAACAAAATTAAATATATATTAAACATTTTAAACTTAGATTAACTGACTGTTTTTTAAAAAGAATGTGATACCTTTTTTCCTTTGTCTTCAATGTTTGGTGAATAGATATTTAACAAATAAGCTGTGCAATTCTATTTAATGAAACCAATTCAATCCAAATATATTCAATTAATTACAAAATATAAATTAAGCGCACATTTATGAATGATTGAAAGGTAAGATTTACACATATTTCTAGGGAGAATGGATTAAATTTTTGTTTTTGTTGTCAGATGGAAGTTGATGATGAGTTATCATTTTATTTTAAAATGTCCAATTTATCATGAGTACAGGAAATTGTATATTGTCATATGACTTAAGGAATAAATAAACAGACAAACTTATTGTTTTCGTTCTTTTCTAAAAAAAAAAAAATATCTTACCTTTTTAAATGACAATATTTAGACCTGAAGAATAAGTTATAACTATTTTTTTTTTTTTGAAGAAATGCTCTACATATATATTGTGTCTCTTGAAAATCAAAAGGTAAAGACCTCGAGATACAGAAAATCAGTCATTAGTTTATACATTGGCCTCAAGGCCAAAAACCGAGGACAAACATGATCCAGAATATTTATTTTAAACAAGTTTGTCCTCTTTGACAGATATGCATAATCCAAATAAGTGTTTGAAAATGTGTTATCGCAAAAACGGAAAAAAAACCCACAAAATAATAATGCAACTGAAACTTTATTTCATGCACATAAAACTTCCAAAAAAACATATATAACAAACGATCAGTTGTTTCATGAATTGAGATTTGACAACACATCATTATTTATATATTTATATCGTAGAAAAATCACAGAATGACCTGTCTTAAATTCTTTTGTGCATATTAATCAATAAAATAATCAAAACCAGCTGCAAAGTTTCATTAGATATTATTACGCATATGCATGAATGCCAGAAATTGATTGTTCAATATGATTATCAAATGCAGTTGATGAAAACCTAACTTCGGGACTTTTTCGAAGAATGCACAGTAACATATCGCTTCATCTTGCCTCCAACGTTGATTTTTTTTAAGTCCATTAGATAATCAAGATCTAGTTCAAGTTCCAAATGTGACCCTTGTTGACCCTTTGACCTGTTGGCGACAAACTGGACACTTTTTCAGGGCTGGAGCACACTGGGCACAACAGACAAGATGACCACAAGGAAGGAACACTATGGCAACCGTTTTATCGCAGCATATCTTACACGTGTGTGCATCTCGCATAGATTCGTTTTCCTTTTTAATTTCGTCTAAAATTAAAAAAAAAAGTACATTTTAAAATACAATTTACATTAATTATATGTTTTTTCCACCAGAGAAGTTTGATTAAATAACTGTAATCTTATTAATTATTATTGGGAAAATTGAATACTCTTTGGATTCCTCTTGAAAAACATTTTTAAAATATATATTAAAAAAATCCACAAACCATTGGAGAGCTGCCTGGATTTTGATTTGATAGTTTCATTGTCAGTTAAACATCTTTTGTCCTCCAATCTAAAAATTTCCTCCATAATGATGGACCCTGTAAGGTTTTTCCATCCTGTAATTTAATAAAATACTGAAATACATAAGTACAAGCAACATTTCATGAATAGACATTATAATTTTTTAATTAATCTGTAGTTATAATTTTAAATTTTCAAGTGCCAGATAGAGGATGTCAATTAATTAGATAAATGAAAAAACTCACCTCCAACTTGTGAAACTATATTTTCTATCGCCTCTTTAATGGTTTTTGGGAGGTACCCGAACTCTAAAACACTTTGAGCTGCATCTGTCAGAAGTGGGTTTTTCTCGTAAGTAGACTCGGGGTATTCGTATAAATCTTTCTCTAAAAATAGAAAATGATACAAAATACAATTTCAGATTTTTTTTTTATCAAGAAGTGAATATTTGTGTATTTTAAGAAGAAAAAAATCAATTTTGACGAATTCTAACTTACGTTTTATTGCTCTACATGGTGGACAGTCTTGTTCAATATCACGATCGGATACTTGCAATATGTTGGAATTTTCATTCCCTGTGTCAGTCTTTTAAAGAAAGGATAGAACTCATAATTTTCATTTAATGCATATTTATTCCTCAAAAGTAATCCAACGTAATAATTCGATTACTGTAATATATTTCAGATAAAAAAAATGATACGAAAAAACAAGAAATAAAACAATTGTTTAAATTATTTATTTAAAAAAACAAGATTGATTTATTATTTTAATTATTAAAAAAAAAATATTTCTTTATTAACTTATGCATTTCTGTTATTTTTCTATATATTTATCTATCTTTTATCTATTTGTTTATCGTTGTATTTAATTTCGTTTTATATATTTCCTCATTTATGGTTCTTTCCGTGTTTACCTCTTCTCTTCGCACAGCCTCTTGAACTTGTTGGATAAATTCAGCGGAAGTATTGTTGACTACAAATGGACAACTTGGCCTCCATCTTGCATGCTCCACCCAAGGATCATCTTCGGGATCCCAGTTTCTCAACCCCACCCCGCACTGGAAACAGCGCACCGAGTCTTCTACCTCTGAAATAAGTGGATTAGAAATTAGCTGATGAAGAATACTATATATAGGGAAAAAAGCTCGAATTTTTAGAAAAAAAAAATTCTGAATGTCCGTATAAGAGAACATTTTAGGAATGGCTTACGGATTGAAAAGAATCCTGCCTCTGCGAGTTTTTTGGCCTGAACTTTTATTGGCCATGATGGAAATGTTTGGATCCTCGCCTGAAGATCCCTGTATTCAGAATGTTTAGCAGGGGTCCTTCTTTTCAACAGGCCGATTTTACTCTGTCGGACGACGTTCCCAGTCATTTTGGAAGAAAAGGTCCGAAACCATTTTAATATACACGAGTCATTGCACATTTAAAGATCACGCAAGAAGTTAATTAGAATAAGTGAAGGGAATTTTCCATCTATATATAGTAACTGGTAATACTTCTCCTGTATATAGCCAATAGTACAGGTGTATGTGTGATAATTTTTACTACGACCATTTTGATGTAAGACTCATCTGATATTATGTCAGCTCCAATAAAAGCTGAGAAAAATAGTATTAACAGAAACAGACTGCAGTTGTATCTCAGAGATGGATCGTTAACTTCAGTTTTTAAACAAGTATATGCAAGCGATAATTTGTTCTATATCTATATGTTAGTTTCATTATCAAAAGATTTGACGTGAAAAAAATGAAATAAACCTTAAAGTTTTTTGAGAGGTATATAAATGTGTATTTTTTAATTTACACAAAAAGGTATTTGAAAGATATCTAAAATTTATGAGCTACGAACAAAAAAAGGAATAAAAATCGTGTCGTTCTTTGTAACTTTCCACATCAAAAGAAAACTCAGAGATCCTTTTCAAAATGTAATGTTGTGTGAGATTTTTTTATGAGAGACATGAACTATTACCTGAATCAAATATGAAAAAAACAAGGATAACATGTATTTAAGGTAAAACATTTATTTTACTGAACACATTTTGGTAAATAGATTTGAACACATTGTGGATGTAAAATATTAAGTACAAAAAAAAAGGTTGAAATGCTAATTGTTTTTATCACAAATTAAAATTGAAAATGCACGAGCGCGTAAAAACTACTAGTATCCATATATCCATCAGCAGTAATTGGTCAGACGTCCGTGTTTCCTCTGCTTTTAATTTTCAATGTCTGATGGACTTTGAGCTTTCCTACTGTTCATACTTATCACCACATATTTCATCATTCCTTTCCATCACCCTGAGATCTCATAATCTCCTCTATAAGCTCCAGGGCGGTCACATTCTTTCCACGGTCTGCAATGACGTCGTTCATCAATTGTACTGTTAGTGTTATGCATGTGTAACAATAACAATTAACAACGTTATCAATTGTACTATTGTTGTTTAAAATGTTTAACAATATCGTTATTAATTGTACCATTATTGTTAATGTGTAAAAATAACAAAAATGTTATCAATTGTACTATTATTTTTGTGTACCTTCTACACACAGCCAGTCAATCAAAATCTAAATTGAAATAAATGACATACTTTTCCGATGCAGGTTGTCAAATGCTTTATTGATATCCTCCGGCAAAAATCCCATTTCTTGTACTTTCAATTTTACAATTGATGACGATGGGGTACTTGTTTGTGTCGATACAGAAAGATTTATAGTGGTACCATTTGCACCTGCAACATTTACAATTTGCCAAAATGAATGAAAAATTCATAGGATAAAAATTATTTGGTTAATGTATGTTAATAAAAAGTCAATTCTGCATTTGACTTGGAGTCATAAAATATTTCAACGGTACGCTTATTTGATCATTACTTTCTACCACCTTGAGATCTCAGAATCTCGTTTACAAGCTCCTGGGAGGTAATATTCTCACCATTCTCTGTAATAGCAAAATTAAATGTTAAATTTACTGTCATTGCTACATCTATCAAAATAACCAACTACTAGAAACGAGTTTAACCATGAAAATTTTAGAATAAATGGCATACTTTTTCGACATAGATAACTAAATGCTTTATCGATATCTTCTGGCAAAAATCCCATCTCTTGCGCTTCGGATTTCACAGTTATGGGTGTCGTGGGTGTTGATACAGAACCATAGATAGTGGTACCAGTCGCACCTATTACATCTATAGTATACAAAAGGAATATACATTTACCAGCTTTTAATGATTTTTTTAAAATTAATTAGATAACGATTGCATGTGAAATAAGGCAACACTAAACCCGTTTTATGTCTTCCACTCAAATGGTATATTAAAACTTAAATACATGCTCAAAAACTTTTTTTTTATTCTAAATTACCTTCCAAGTCCTGATCATTTGGATCATTTGGATCATTTTGTTGCTGTGGCAATTCAAAAGGCAGTGCATCTGTTACCTTGTGTAAATTGATATGTCGTATGTTAATTTTTTTTTCCCTATGTATACGTATTCCGATTTTTAAAAATGTATTACAATAGTATTCCTGTGAATATCAATTAACTGTTTGTATGTACTCATTCATAGATATTTTTTTTCTTATACTAAATACAGGATAAAAAGATAGTTACTCACAACATCATGCATGTAACACTGATGATATTGACCCGAGCCTCCCTAAAAAGGATATAAATTAAACTAAAATCTAAAAACAAGTACTCAATATTCTTTTTTCGCGATGATCTATTTTTCGCATTTTTGTGATAATTTTTAATTCGCAAAAAAGAAAACATGCAGAAATTATAACCATTATTATATCTCATAGAAACATTAAAATTTTTTATGATGATTATCGTAAAAATATTCATAACGTAGGAAGTAATTTGCAAAACATTTTTAAGAATCTCTTCCCCTAGGTTGTAGTCATTTCATTATTTCACTTGTGTGACATATATGTATATTCTACATCATTAATGCATGTATTTCAATTAGATCTTTTTATTCAGTCGGATTCTAACGCGGAAGACAATAAAGTATACTAGTAAATTCATTTTTCAGACAGTATTATCAATTTATCGTTTATAGGTGGGTTACTGTAAATGCTTGCAGAGTGTTTGCAATCAAAGATCATACCTTTGCCGAAGATTTGCCTTTTTTACTCATGCTGTTAAAAAAATGCATGCTGATTAGTACAATCCAATTAAGAACAAGTGGAAAAAAAATATATATTATGATCTTATTTAAAACTGGTTATAGGATTCAAAAGGAAACTTTATCAAACTTTGAAAAACAATAAATAATTTGATCTAAAGAGTGTGTTCTTCCTCAATAATAAAATCGAGTAAAACGATTTTCAAAAACATTTGAACGGGTTGTTTTAAATTTTAAATATGATAAAATATTTCATTAAAAGTGTAACTTTTTAAAATGAATAATATCATAACTCTGAAGCAAAAATATCACAATCAATACTCGATAGGACGCTCAAACTACGATCAAATACTGGTATTAATCAGAGGCAGGCTATTTACAGAAAATTCAACAAAATCGTTTAAACTTTGCATATTATGCAAAGTCTATAGACGTTATATTGACTTTGTCAGCAAATATAATCTAAATTTGGAAAGTTTTAAGGCTGATGTTTTTACTATCATTTGTTAGACCTTGTATTCTTTATTTGACCACAAAATATTCCATCTATCTAATCATTACATATCGATCATGGCAAGTGGAACTGGTCAAGATTGGATGCTTAATTTATTATCTATTTTGGCACTCGATTCACAACTTCTGAACTCTTATGTTTTATACCCTGATAACAAATTTGTATTGTTTGTAAAAAAATTTTACAGCGAGCATTGCTCGTTTTCATCAACATTTTCATTGTCACAGTAATGTGTATTCTTAAAAGTAAACTCTTTTTGAGGAACCTTTATTTGTGAAAAACATTTTCAAAACAATTCTGTTTGTTTGAAATGATGTAAACATAAGCTCTATATTAACAAGTTAATTTTAGAATAGGGAATTTGTGGGGAATTCCAGATTTAAATATAGCATTTATACTTAGACAAAGTACAAGAAAGGAATTTCATTCACAACTGATTTTTAAAAAAATGATATCTTTTTTAATTTTTTTTAAATAATATGTTATACCAAAGCCACGAGTAGATTATCTATTTTATAAAGTTGAACTCACCTAGCTGCCAAAATCCCTTAGCATAGGAAATATTGAGCATGCGTAGAATACAGATATTTATAACTTATTTAATATAGTGTCTTACTGCATTAAGTAATCAATATAAATAGATTCAAAACACGTAATACACGTCATTTAAAGAAACACCTTAATAATCATTTTAATAGAATTACAAATCATGCGCTATTATTTTTAAAGAAATAAATAAGCAAATGGCCTAATATAAATATTAAATGGAAGCTTCCGAAAACTTGACAATGTTTACAGTTCGCGTCTTAGGTCATTTTCAGTGCTTTATATAAGTTAAATCCGAAGCGCTTGGAAATGTGTCCGACCTATCGGATACTTCTTCTCTCTGGATCTTGTTTTGCAGAAATGAAGGAACCCTGGATGCATTTAATTTCTCTGTAGCTTGTTTGAGCATTCCATAGGTTTATGCCAATTCTTCAGGGATAAACTTTACAGAATGTTGGGAAAAGACATTCCTATCCGTTTTGCCTTCTGATATCATTTTAATCTTTTAATATTTGAACATTCCATATGTACAGGAATACTAATAAGGTTTTATAAAACAAAACAAAAAAAGCATCTCAAAAATTACATTTTTTCTCGAAACAATTGTGTATTACCACATGAATAAATTAGCATGAGTGCTGGACGACAAATTATCATATCGAAGAATTTTTTCTCCGTTTTTTTTCAATTAGAAAGTACGTCGCATACGAGGTTACGTTGCCTGGTCATATATGTATCATAACTTATTAAAGCAAATGAAGTTTATTAAAATATGTTTTATAAAATTTAGCTTCATTCTATGGATAGAAAAGACGATGCTTACTAAATGTGTCATAATTCAAATATGTGTCTAAGGAAGTTTAATTTTATGGCTGGTAATTTAACAACTAAGCTATATGATAAACGTGATGACTTTAACTTTTCTATCGTCAACTTCCCTTACTTATGCAGCAAATGCATACGGAGTGTATATATCTCAGTTGATTCGATACGCAAGAGCTTGCTCTACGTATGAACAATTTCTAAAACGAGGTAAATTATTGAAAAGCAAGTTGATGAAACAAGAATATCAGCAGTCTCGTTTAAAGTCATCATTTTGTAAGTTCTATGGTCGATACAATGACCTTGTCAGCAAATACAATTTATCATTGAGCCAAATGCTGATGGACGTTTTTTATACCAATTGTTAGTCCATTTTTTAAACACTGAATTGACGACGGATTTTTCCGTTGTTTACTAATCATGACAAGGAGCACACGGCGGGTGTGACCGGTCAGCAGGGGATGCTCACTCCTTCATGGCACCTGATCCCACTTTGATGTATCGGAGGTCCGTGTTTGCTCTGCTCCTGTTTTGTATTGTTTTATGGACTTCGATATTGAATACTGCTCGTTATCTCCATTTTCTTATTCCAACACAAAATTTCAAAGTTTCAGACCCCTAAATGTAAAAACGATTCTTCAATATAGTAACAATTTGATACGTTGAGAGATAAACAATGCTTTATTATCCTATCCTTGACATGATCTCTTTATGCAGTTTTGTCATATTTCGGCGCTGCATTTCGACAAAACCAAAACAAGTATGGAAATGTGCAAAGTACTTAGAAAACTACTCATCTATAAGAAGTCAATTTGAACATTTCAACTAAATAGTATCAAAGAAAGTTCGATTTATTAATTTGTGAATACCAATGGTAGAATCATATTCATGCAACATCATACAATTTATAAACAAATTCCCTTTTAAAGCATCGAGTTTTAAAAATCAAAATGAGAATATGCACCTTTAACATAAAATATTTAATAATATAAGGGTTATGTCTCGTACTGAAGCTCGATAATTTTAAGTTTTATTGCAAGAAAAATGTGACCTTAATTTGTGCGAAAAACCATGTGAGCTTAAAAAGTGCGTTGAGCTGTATATGGGCGTGAGGTGTGCGTTCAAACAGACCACAAGCCATTAGTGTCTATTATGCAGAAGTCTATACTTAATGTATATGCCTTGGCCAGCCTACAGCGCATGATTCTTCAATTGCAGAGATTCAACCTTTAGCTTGTTTATGTTCCAGGAAAACAAATTCCTGTAGCAGATGTACTTTCTAGGGAGCATCTCATACAATGCCAGAGATTCCCAAGGCTCAGGTACATTGGGCTCATGAAAACATATAGGTGACGGTCGTCCAGAACAGATTTAGTTGACCTTAGGACAGAGCTCTTAAAAATATTACATGCGGGTCATACTTGTGTTGAAAAAACCCTAAGACGGTGAGATATTTTTCTGGCCAGGACTTATGAAGGACATTACATACCTAATACTGAACTGTAATGTTTGGTTAGAATTTAGGGGTTCCAACTCTAAGGAGCCCTTGCAATCTCGTGAAATTCCTTCATACCCATGGCAAACAATCGCCTCAGATCTTTTCCTTTGGGATGATCAGGACTGTGTTCTGTTTGTTGACTATTACAGTAGGTATTTTGAAGTTTTTAGGCTAACCAATTCTCATAATTCCACTATTATCTCGTGATGCAAAGAAGACTTGCAAGGTATTATACCTGAAAAATTTGTCTCAGACAATGGTCCGCAATATTCAAGTTATTATGAATTTGCTGATTTTTCCAAAGAGTGGAATTTTCAACATGTAACTTCAAGCCCAAGATACCCTAAAGCTAATGGTCTCGCTCAAAGGACAGTACAAACCTTAAAGGGCATTCTATGTAATAGGCTGACCGACAAGACATTATTTTAGCCCTTCTGACATATAGGACTACTCCTTTTGACAAAGCACTTTCCCCATTACAACTTTTAATGTCTAGAAAACTTAATTAGGTTAAACATCCCTTTTGTTCAGGAAAGCCTAAAGCTTAAAGTTTAGAGTTAATAATATTACGACGGAATATTTTAATAAGGAAATAACTTTTCTTATTTTATGAGATTTCAGCAAGTATAAAATAGAATCGAAGGAATTTGGCAATAAATTGAAGATTAAATGCTTTTAGAGTGCGTGAAAATGTGTGATTGTGGGGAAATGGTATATGCGTGATATCGCGTTAGAAATAGGAAATGGTATGTGCCTTAAAATGCTTGACTGCGGGGAAGGAGGTTGAGCCTCTCAACTCTGATGACTTCAGAGTGATAAAAACTTGACCCCAGCCATTATAATGCTGGTTTTATGTTTTCAAACACGAGCCTTTGCCAGATGATACCCCTAATTTGAATTCTTCTAATAATTTGCAACATGGAGAAATTCCTGACATAGGTAACACACCTCAGCCCCCAGAGCAATCCAAACAATATGTAACTAAGTCTGGTAGAGTTGAAAAACCAAAATGTTCCTTCTCTGTAATCACATTGTTAATCTATTGTTATCTTAATTATCATATCCGTCTACATTAACCACATACGTATGCCTATTAAACATGGTTCCTATTTTCATTGTGAATCAAAACTCTGTATATAGCTTTGGACACTTATGATTTTCAATTTGACAGTGTAACATTGTAAATGCAGCATAATGATTGGTACATATATTAAGTGAGATTCGATCTCTTTGTTAATAGGGAAATGTTACATTATCTTTCCTAATGTGTTATATGAGTTATTTCCCTTTGATTGATTGACTTTTACATGCACTTTGAGTAGGCTCAAGGCGCAAGTTGTGATTTCTGTTAGATATTAGAGTTAGAAAATGTGCTCGTCGACTTGTGATCATTTCACTGGATCTTTCCATCCAGAAAACATAAAAAATTGTTGTTGCAAAAGTTAATTTCAAATATCATAGCTCTACAGACATTTTTGTCAACCAAATGTCGATAGGTTATTTTGTTCTCAGAAACCCAAATTAATTTATTTTTATGTTTATCTGCGGTAATTGAGAATGGTATAAAGCTGTAAATAGTCGGCAACGAAAAGACGGAATATTTTGATGAAATCTAGGGTTGTGTAATAGTCTATGTGTGCAGCAGCATCAGTCATTTTGTGCCATACGCTTGGGAATGGTGCCGATACCAGATGAAGGATTGGTACCCCTTTGTGTAAAAAAGGAATGTGGTCGTCTTCAATTCCACTTTCAAAATTTGGATGCTTATTAAATAGAGTTATTTCATTATAATGCAGGAGTCTCTTCTTTTTGAGGTATCGTTCTTTTTTTGCTAAGAGTTTAAAAGCCTTTGTCGTTTGTTTGAAAAAGTTGACAAATTGTACATCGCTTGTTCCAATCAAATGCAACAAAACAAAGAGTTTTACATTTGGTAATACATTCTCTTCTTCCCATTTCTTTGCAAGGTGTCTTGCTCCGTAAATGGAATCTCTGTCTGTCCAAAACTTGAAAGCCTCTTTTCCATCAAAGAACACGATCTGTGGGGTAATATATTGATACTTATATTTCCGGGACCTCGTTAACAAACGATGCAGATGGACAGCTGTATCTAATAATATCCCACAGGGCACTGCTGAGTCTGAAGCTCCAATGAAGACGTTTCCATTTCTGTCTGTTATGTTTTTAGAATCGTAGTGGGCAGCCAGTACCATTTTCTTCGATTTTCTAGGATCCCGTGTTGCTATGACGTTCGTGAATGTATTGGTGCCGTATGGTGTCACGTCTTGAAACACATCCTCCTCAATATGCCAATTCAGGGCCTTAAGCTTACTTACGAGATAATTTCTGACTGTTGCACTGCCCTCCGTGTCTGGCATTCTTGGGATCAAAATAGGCTTTACAAGTTGATTAAAGGCATTCAATTCTGCGTCAGCGTTGTCCACATCTCTTGTTCCTAAAATTTCTCCTGCTTTACATGTTGCAGGTTGGTCTCCATCACTTTTGGACCGTACGATACAACATAATACATACAGTATTAGTGCAGAAGCTTTAACTCCTTTCATATTCGCTGTGCTTTGAATCGAATACATTGTATTTCTAATCTGAACATATGCTGGAATTCTATATATATAAGGTCTTAAAGGAACTCCTCCAACGAACATGTTGCATTATTTCTATTTAAGGAAAATCGATTCACCCATATATGGACTTTCGGTTTTTTTTTTCAAGAAACATCATTGTCAGGTTTGAAACTAAATAGCCATTTGACTCTAATGAAAATAGGTTCCTGGTCATTCTTCATTTTCAAATGTGAGTAATAGAATTTTGTTACCCTTTTGTTTAAATTTTAACCAGGATTTTCAAAGTTTTCATACATAGTCTGAGACCGAGCTTTTACACTTTTGCTTGGTTAAGGACTTTGTATTGTTATTGTTTATAACACTATACAGCTTTGTGCATTATTTAACTCCCATGGTTTTCGTACAAATTAACGTCACAATATTTTGTAAAGAGGAAATAAAATATTTTTTAAGTGATTGTTTAGCTTTTCTAAATTTTCTGTAACTATCTAAAACATATTTCACCCACGCAATTGTTGTATGCAGATGGATAATGTTAAATTTTTACTACAAGAAGAATGTGATTATGATTTTGCGATAAACAATGTGAGCTTTAAAAATGCGCGAAGCTGTATATGTTATTTATACATGTAAAAGTACTTTACACATGTATTACCAGGTATTGTTAATAGCTATTCATAGATCTTGATAAACTTAATTGTAACCTTGATTCCGTTTTGGATTTGGGATATCCGTTCGTATCCTCCTTACAAGTGCATCTAATTAGTACGTTTAATACAAGTTCACCGCTGAGAGTCCTTTAAAAGTCAAACTTACGATTATTGTCTCGATCAGAAATGGGTCTTAATTGTCAATGACCCGTGATTGGTGAACGGTTAAAGCGTACCTCTTACGCCCCTTCAAATGTGTTCGGAATCTTTTATTTTTCGGTTTTATGCAAATTATAAAATCCGATGAGTTAAGAGTACCTCTGGCAGTGGCTCTGTCGAGAGTTAACGAAACTACAGCGAGATAGGGTAAATTATTCACGGAATTGGGCTAGGAAGTGACTAGCACGTGGAGACATGGTAAACAGAAAAGTTATTCAGCGTTTCACTTTTCATCACCCTATAATGTCTGTAAGAATGTACTTCAATCGGTCTCTATTGAATTCATTAAAACTTAAATAAGTATTCCCTGTGGTACAATTTTCTACAGTCATGAATTAAAATTTCTTTTTGGACAAATATTTTTGCATGGGAACCGGGACTACATTTTTTGGCGTCAGATTAGCAAATGCGGCACCAACATGACTTTGACTGACAAATCAGCTGAATGAGAATTGCATTATGGGTTTATTACGAATACAATAGGAATTTTACGCTTGAAAAAAGAAAATCTTATGGCGATCGGATAGACACAAAGACAAGTTTCCCATTCATGTCGTAAATGAAAAGCATTTTAAAAAAATTCTATTAATATTCATGCTCACAATGGCAAACAATTCATTTGTTAAAGCGATTTGCGTCTGTTTTAATTCCTTTGTTGTACTATCGGTGAAAACAACTGACAGGTGGTTTCCCTGTCTAAAACAAATGATCACGGGTAAAGTGTTTTGTCCATTTAAATGCAGAAGAGTCCTTACCCTTGAAGCGGTAGTGTTCTGAACTTGACACAAAAAACCTTTTATTAGACATATTTTTCTAGCTGACAACAATTAAAAACGCCCGCGATTCCTTCATATATATTCTTTGTATATTGTTCATAAGAACATCTTTTTATTTTGCACTTCATTGACACGATCATAGATTGACCCGTTCAAAGTAAAATGTAAACATGTATTTGGCGTAAACGTTGCTAATCAGTCAACGATTGGTCAGTTGCTCGTGGTAAGATCCTCTGTGCGCATTGATAACAATAGCCATATAAGACAAGCAAAAGTTTGTCAGTATAGATGATATTACACATATTTTACCAGCGTATCGGTCGGTAGAGAGCTCTAATTTTCGCCGTAAATTATACAATGTATAACACATTTTTTTTACCAGGTATCTTTCGTAGAGAGCTCTAATTTTCGCCGTAAATTATGATAAGATATCTTGTTATTTTAACCTCTCCCCTCCTTAGCCACTCTTTTCTGTTGAAAATCATGAAAGTCTTTCAGAATGGTCTGAAAACATATTTTTCACAGGACATGTTTTAAAAAGAAACACACTATAGCAATTTCCTGTTTACCACCAATTGATTTATAAAACCGTATCTACCCTATAACCTTTGAATAGGTCAACCTAAGCCACGTGTCTTGAATTTAAATCATAATAACAATAGTAGGGGTGTCTTACATAAAAAGAGAAGTGTTGTTAACGAGTACCCTGATAACCGGTTAACCATCGAACGATGTGAGTATCGGTTACTAAAACTGCTATTCGGTTACTCGGATAAAATATTAATATTATTTTGTTTTTAAATGTACAGTATACTAACACGTTTCACTAATTTTTTGTACCGACTTGATGGTATGTTCCCGTTTTGCACACATTTGATAATCAAGTATAGACAAAAGGTGTGAAATGCATGTGTTTTGAAAGCAATTAAAGTCTGATTTCTGGTTAGGATTTACCTTAATTAGTTTACCTGTATTTTACCCATGTGTCATGAACAGGAAAATAAATATTATGTAATGTATATGAATATTTATTGGAAAAGTGAATTTATTGAATATTTTATTTAATATAAATTATTAAACTTTTACAAATTGACAGTAATTTCTTGAAAAATAAATAATTTATAAAGCTGATATTGCCGGCTGACATTGACACCGATTACTTTCATAATTAATCTTTAGTATAAATTTTTTATTTTGTTATAAAAGTAAAGAAATAAATGAAAACTTGTAATGCACTCAATAATTTTTGTTGGTTTAATTTATGATTTTATTGTCCAATTCTCACCATACAGTATTCATTAATCACTGCAAAGTAATTTTATTGTCCAATTCTCACCATACAGTATTCATTAATCAATGCAAACGCATGATTTCCTGTCAAAAACTGGTTTCATATCTATTATTATTCACTATTTAGTCCAAAACCACGGTATCTGGGACAGAATAAGACTTCTTAGGTTTTGTAAAGAAATTCGTATGCCGTTTCACACCGAAAGCTTAATTCGGCTTGAACGTAAGTCACATTGAGAATAAAATGCAAATTAGTTTAATCACTATGACATTAAAGTGATAGCTATGAAAACTTTGACTTTCTGAAATGATCACTATGAAAACTGAATATACTCTCATCGTTGTTTATAAGATGAAAGCTCTATATCAAATCAACTGAGAGACATGTAAGAAAAGTTAGTGATAAAAAGTAATTGAAAAACTTCTATTATTTTTATATCTTTTTTGTTTAATGTAGTTTTAAAAAGTCGAATTCATAAAAAACGACGGCATAAAAAGTTTCCTCACGTTTGGACTATCACAAGAACACAAAACGTGCGTATTTGTTCTATCACTGTGTATTTGTTCCTTCTGTTTTGCATCATGAAATTATCATGCAACCTTAAATTTGATTACCTTTGTAATAACGATGAACCCGATTTAAATTTCCACTCTTAAAATAAAATTACAGTCATGTTCTTACAAATTTTTTGAACATCTGTGAATCTTAAAATATCCGTTGTAAGCGACATTTGATAACCTTCATGTAAAAATGATATACTTTATTTAGAAATACGCTGCCCAGAATAACTGCTTTGTGCATTGCTGAAATGAAGCAAACCCTAACAACAGATGTTAATGTTTTATCATTTACTTTGAAACAGCTTTGCATTATAAAATTATCATAGAAAGGAACTTTAGAAATTCATAAAGTTATGTATATTTAAAATTCAAATAAAAGTCTAATAAAATTTTTGTATCAGACATTAGTAATTGGATGTATTTTTTAAACGTGTGTCTTTTTATGCCCAGCTCCCGTAATGAAGATTCGGGAGTATATAGTTTTGCCCTGTTCGTCCGTCTGTCTCGCTGTATTTCAAATAAAAATCTGTTTATAGAATTTCTATGAGTTTATTCAAATGGATGCATTTTTTTTTAAATATGTCTTTTTTCTCATTTTTTTTTCTTTACAAAACATAATTTGTTAAACATCCCACAATGAGAAGATCCAGATGTGCCATGCAGATAAAACTGCTAGAAATTAAACAATAAGAATAAAATTGTTTTTTGCTGTTTTATTTTTTTAAGATACCGGGTATAATGAAAATGCATTTAAGTATTTGATATAATAGAAAGGTAATGAAGCAATAACTCTATTAGCAGACTTATTTTTGTATTCAAATGAAGCAGAGTTTGTCCAAAATTTCATACAGGAAAGGGAGAAAACACTTTCTGTTTCCTTCAACTCGACATATGTCGACATACGACGTATTGTCAATTAAGATGTTTTTTTATTCTTATGTCGACACGATATATCCTGATGAGCTTGAAATAAAAGATACAACAGAGTCTGACACATCTGTTTCATATTGAGATATTTATTTTACTTGAAAAGACGTTAATGGTAATCTAACAACCAAGCTTTGGCATAAGCGTGATGACGTTAAATTTACAATCGTCAACTTCCCTTACTTCTTCATCACCTGCATACGGGGTTTATATATCTCAGATGATTCGATACACTAGAGCATGCTTTACCTATAAAAAATTTCTTATACGAGTTAACTATTGACAAACAAGTTCCTGAAACAGGAATATCAGGAGTCTCGTTTAAAGTCATTTCGTAAGTTCTATGCTCGATGGAATGATCTTGTCAGCAAATACAATTTATTAATGAGTCAAATGCTGACTGACGTTTTCATACCAATTATATGTATTAGGTCATTATATACACAATGAATTGTCTTTGGATTTTCCCATTATTTTCCGATCGTGTCAAGGATCTCTCTGAGGGGATGCTCACTCCTCCATGGCACCTGATCCCACCTCTGATGTTTCGGAGGTCCATGTTTGCTCTGCTCCATTTTTGTATTTGTTTTATGGACTTTGGAGCTTGAATACTGTTCGTTATCTCCATATATTTTATCAATAGTGAAAGTTAATTAAACATAGTTATATTTGGATGACATTGGACAACATAGACACCTCGTCTCATCAGGTACTGTTAAACATTATGAAATAAAGGGGGGGGGGTTGGTTACAACACATTATCATTAGCTGCCTCTTCCATGCTTAAGCATGTCAGTTCAGATAAATTACCTTAATCAAGTGACATTGGTACATAGGGAGTATATGCGTACGTTATTTTCAAAGTCTCAAATCAATTTTATCATTTTATAACATCATATTTATATATTTTCCTTGTCTACCCAATCACCAAGAACTTATTTTATGTAACGTGCAAGGGAAAATTAAGAAATGTAAAGTCAAGTCAAGTGAGAATCAATTCCACAAAAGTAGATTAAAGTTAAAAAAAAATACCGTGGCCTTGATGCTCATAATTTGAAAAAAAGTAGAATCTACACTACCTCAGAATGCTTTCTCATACGTTTCAGCTTCTCTGGCCCAGTGGTTCTTCAAAAGAAGATTTTGAATGATTCCACCGCATTTTGTCTTCTTTTGATTATCTCCTCTTACAAGGGGACTTGGTCCTTCCGTTTAACAATTTAAACTCATCTTCCCCCAAGGATGCTTTGTTCTAAGTTTGGTTGATATCGGCCCTGTGGTTCTTGTGAAGAAGTTTAAGATGTAAAAACTTTACAGACGGACGAACGCCGAGGGGATCAGAAAAGCTCACATCAATTTTTCAAATTTTCATTCGTTAAAAGTTTCAATTTATGTTGTATTAATTACATAATATGAATTTGTAACAAATCAACTTTATAGAAAAATAATCACATTATTCAGCAATTTGTAAATTGATTTATCAATGTATAATTGAATAAACAAGAGGCCCATGAGCCACAATGCTTAAATGAGGAACTTTGACAATGGTGTTTTCCACCAGATTTTCCCTGTAATGCCTATTTAGGATCCTCCCTAATTCCGGGGTCAAGATTTGAATATAGAATATACATCGACTTCGAATGCTTCCACATAAGTTTCAACTTTTCTGGTTAAGTGGTTCTAGAGAAGATTTTAAAAGATTTTTCCAATATAAATGTGTATTTCAATGTTAAACTTTGATTCCCTATTGTTGCATTGCTTACTCTCAGGGGTAATGATTTTAACAATTTAGAACCTACGCAACCGCAGAATACTTCCACATAAGTTTCAGCTTTCCTGGGCAAGTGGGAAAACAGTCAAAAATATTTTGATGTAAAACTTGGATTCCTTATTTTGGCCGAGTGGTTTTGAAAAGAGGTCGAAAATTTGAAGACTTTACAGACGACAGATGGACGCCGGACACTCTTTGATCAGAAAAGCTCTTCAGGATGTGAGCTAAAAATTCTCGAATGATGCTACGTCAGATACAATGTTATACTTCCTGTATTAAACTGACAAAGTACTATATATTATTTATTAATTCTGCCTGTTTATCTAAACTTAAGAAAATATTTTTCTACTTCATACACTAGCTGGAATAGTGTGCCTCTTCACAAATTCAGGATTTTTTTTCCAGATATTTAAAATATCAGACTCGATAATTTTGAATTAAAATTTCACGTTCATTAAATGTTGAATCAGAACAAGTAGGAAAGCAGAAGAAATTTGAGAAGAAAATGATTTCAGTTAAAAGAAATCATCTGATTATCTTATTTCAGACATTCATTTTAAAGATGCTTAAGTTGCCAGTGTTTCCTCAATGTACTCATCAACTTTTTGCTCCAGAAAATTTAGTGGCACCGCCCCACATCTCAAGACCACAGAGTGGAAGTCTCTAATGTCAAACCGTTCTCCTTAAAAAATAAAGGAAACCCATCATTATACACCACACAGCGTCAGGTATATCATAATCAAGGCTACAAAATTTTTTTGGCTAAAGACTGGCAAAGGAGCAAGGAAGGGCCATTGATATGATGCATACATGTAGTAGTTAATATTTCATAAAAGGGTCAAATTCTACAAGAGTGTCAGTTTTTATCTATATTGTATTACGATAGTTTAATTTTGGTACCATATATTTTTGACCCAAAATGATGACGTCTTCAATCGTTAATTGTCAAGATATGAGGTAACTAATCCTCATCTAGATCGTAAATTAAAATTGACAATTTGCAAATGTTTAATGAGATCAAACACTTCGTGTAATTTTCACAATTTTTCAAACATTGAATTCTCTCCTTGCTGTTTTGAAAATATATTTTTTAGGACCCAGAGTCTTGTAGCCTCATGGAATTGACAGAACTTTATTTATGTATTGTTCCATCTGAAAAGATGAGATTTGGATTTTTTTCTGTTCATTATGATAACATTTTATACATTATATAAATATCCTTTTCATTCTTAATTTTCATAAGACAGGCCGTTTCAGAGATTTCATCAGTAAATGATTATAAATGTATGTTTATAACATGGTGCTTTTTATTGTTTATTATTTGCTTTTGTGCATTTGTGTTGTTATTGTCGTAAAAATGGCAAATATCGTAAAAATGGTAAATACATTTTTTTAATTTGAAACCCACTTTGAATGAAATTTTTCTTCTTTTAATTTTAGAGGAGGAATTTTCAAAAGTGCAAAAAGGAGAGGGCTGCAAACACAATAATTATAAACATATTAAAAAAATGAAAAAAAAAAATCAAATTTCTCTTTTAAATAATTCCTAATCATAAACTTCAGACTGCATTATCAAGTATACTTGTTTTGTCACCTAATGCTAAACTGGCTTTCTGTCGTAGTTGCTTAAGTTTTATTTCACCAATTTTATAGGCACATGCTTGTCCTGGCAATGTAACATATCTTTTACATTCCTTTTCCAAATGATTGGCATCCATGTAAATCTTCTCTTTCATGTAATTTAGGGCCTCCTCAAAAGTCCAACTTAAAAGGAATACTTCAAGATTTAATTATATCAAACGTAAAAAAAAAAAATTGGAATGATCCTATTGAGATTTTAAGCTACGTGACCGTTATGGCTTTGTAATGAATGTCTTTTCATGTAAATTGACAGTCTTTTATTTATATCTATGTTACATTGAAAAACCTGATTAATGTTTAAAACTTCAGCCTTGCATACAGCATGGCGAAAACATAAACTTTCAATAATATATTTACTATTTTTTTTATGAATTACAATACTATCAGCAGGAATTGTTTTATTTAATATAACTTTATACTACAATAACTTACCCAAAGGCATGAATTCCTGTATCAACAACTAGACGAACAGCTCTCAAAATTTCAAGACAGTACCGTCCAAACCTAAACAAATAAGCATATTAAAAAAGGATGGGTGGTTTGCAACGATTGAAGTGAAACATATGGAGAAAACGAACAGTATTCAAGATCAAAAGTCCATAAAACAATACAAAATAGTAGCAGAGCTAAACTCCTCATAATCTGAACTTGTCACTTACAAAGTGTAGTTATCCTCGTACAAGCCGAGTTCTTCTCCCAAATACTCACAGTAAAGACCCCAACCCTAAAGACAGAATCATATCTCTAAATAAGGTTTATAACGAACATTTCTTACTATTTTTAGTCTGAAAATAATTACTTTATGTATTTAATAAAAATTACTGGTATATTTTATTAATTTAGAAGGAAATTTCTCCTACCCTGTTATTGTTAAAATACATGTTTAAACATACCTCCAAATATGCAGTATACGTTGGAAATCTGGAAGGGACACAAGAATAGTGCAGATCCTCTTGAGCTCTTCTGAATTTATGGATATCCTTTATTTCCATAGATATCATTCCCTTAAATAACAATAAATATCAAAAAATAATTCATAACAATATAAACTTACAGAGACCATGTTTTTCGTCTCGTTTGTCAATAGTTTAGATGCTCTCTCTCTCTCTCTCTCTCTCTCGATCGATCGATCGATCGATCATCAATACTGCGTTTCTGTTAAAATACAAAATAATTATGAAGTTTTTGATAATACAACTTCAATTTGACATTTGCTTGGGATATAAAAATGATCCGTTTTAATTAATACGTATTTGTGAGGAGTATTGAGAAATTTAACCCGTTAAAATAGTGATAATGATTCAGATAAATTGTTCTTGAAAACATGTGTATTGTTGGATATTGAAACAGAAAAGTAACTCTTGCAACTCAACATTTGATGCATAATTTACAATATATCCACTTCATAAAATTGCGACAATTTTCTCAGATACTGACCTGGAAATGGTGCCCGGGTTCTCCTTCATGTAAAGACAAAGCTGGTAGTTCATATTTTGGACTGAAAAATAATTGATACAATTTTTGTCCATGGATTTCAGGACAAAGTTATTCAAACAGTTTAGTATTAATAATTATCTTATTGATATTTGCAATTTACACTTAAAAAGGAATTTAAATAGAAGCTATTCAAGACAACGTTAACATATGAATAGAAAAATTAAGTACATGTAATACTTTTTTAAAATAACTTTTTAAAATATATCATGATACATGATGTATTGGTGCGAAGTTATGGATTAGTTTTCATGCACATTTTGTGTTTAAAAATTAACAATGGAAAACTATCGATGAGCTTTTAAAAAAATTAAATCTAAGTATTCAGTGTTATTTACATGTATCTTACAGCAAGTAGAAAGTTAAGTGATGTACACACCAGACTCTAAGACCATAAACTTAGAACAGACTTTAATCAAAATTTTGATTTTTAATTTCTTCAGTTTTATTAAATGATTTTGCTTAAAAATATGCAGTATTAATGAAAGAGCTAGGTTCACCTTATGCATAAAATGGCCCTCTCCTTATGTCAATTAATATCACCTTCTTTCCTCAGCATATATCAAAATAAAGTAGAGACTCAGTGTTTTCATTTCATATATCAAAATTTTTTTTTGAGAATCTAAGTATTGGAAAACAGGCTTTGTAAAAATGCAATGTTCTTAAATTTTGCAGAAAACATGCGTTTTTGAATACCTTCACCAAAGAATTAAAATATGAGAACAGCCCACGATCCAAAAAGTAAACTATGCTTTTTAATCTTCAGAAATACACCTTTCATTACTGTAAATCACTTTTTTATTCACGAGAACTTTATTTTCGCGTAATTACGCGAGACGGAATGCTCGCGAAAATTTCGTTCTCGTCTATTATAGAATTCCATAAGAATATATAGAGCAATGACCACAATTCTTGAAAATTTTGTCTCGCTAATAAAGAGTCAATGACTATCTCGCGAAAATAAGGTGTCGCGAAAATTAAGTGATCTACAGTATGTAATTGAATATTTCGGATCAGAGGCTGTGCTCTATATGAAATACTGAAAAATTGCTTCAATTTTATGCCATTTTCAAACAATTTTACGGCATATTTGGAAAATGACGTATTTTTTGACGTCATAATGCATTGACTAAAGGTAAAATTACGTCATGTTCAATAGAAACATGGACACAAACAGTCTAAGTGATAAATACTGCATTTTAACCTAAACTGAACAGCTTTGATTTTTCAGAAAATCTCAGGGTCAAAAGATTGGCTATTGCTCTTTTATTTTACTATCAAAATTTTTTAAAAGTTACATTACTTTGAAATTTTGACTTAAATTTATTCTCAGTTTTATGGTCTTGGAGCCAGATCTAGTCATATTGTATCATTTACATTCCAGGTAAGTCATGAGTACTGATATATTGCAAAACACAATTTGTAGGGTCATTTTATATCATCTTCCCCGAAGGTTAAACGTACTGGTTCAGGGATGGGGTAATTGAAAAAAGTAATTGTTATTGACTGTAATTAATTTCATTGGAAGTATTTGCAATTGAACATTTTTTCCCAATACTTGTAATTGTTATTCAATTCATTACACTGAAAAAATGCCATGTAATTTAATTACGTTTTCAATTACATTATACATTAAACATCCATGATATATCGTCACCACTACCTCTACATTTTACTAATTTTAATTGTAAAACATATCCTCAGTCCATTAATTATAAAAAAAAATCTTTAGTTAATGTTTAAAAGCAAATAAATGATTGTTTTCGTAATAAAAATATTCTTTCTAATCATTATGTAAAATTTATTTATTTTTTTTATTATTATTATTTTCTTATAGATTTATCTAAATTTTGAACCATTCTTAGATCTATTTATCATGAAACATACATTTATTAAATTTCCAGTTTTCTTGTTTGAACAATAATAGAGAAAAAGAATGTAAGTGTGTCATAATTTTCAAAGTTTTCTCTTGTTGGGAAGAAATAATTGCCTCCAAATCACAGCTATAAATTGCAATCAAAACAAAATTGCTCTAAGAAGGTATTTATTCATGATTTAGAAGACAAAGCCAATGGGAATAATTATTTAAAAAAATGCTCTGTTAACTGTAGGAAAGAAAAACCACCAACTTGATAATTATTCTAACATCTATAAAAGAATTTTATGAATGGGTTTTTTATCTGAAAAAGTTATGTTCTGTACAAGTATTATGTATAAGGAAATATGTTCAATATAAATAGCTTCTTAGGATGGTCAGGTTCAGAAATGTTTAATTTGAGGGGTTACAGCTGTGCCTCATTTTACTCTATTAAGATACCCTCTTTTAATCAAATTTCATACGCCATGCAATTTGTGTACATGTAGGTTTTGCAAGGAAGAAACAGCATCAAACCGTTCGCGGATATTTAATGTTTTGTTAATAAAAGTTATAAATTAAACCACAAAGATACATAATGCCCATATAAGTTTTCTTGTATTGTTTGTGCAGAAGCTGAGCTTATATACAACTGAATGTAGTTCTGTATGTTCATTGTCAAGGATTAAAAAAAATTCAAAAAAATTTAAAAAGAAATTTGTAATTCAATTGATTACTTGTGAAAAGTAATTTAAATTTAATCAATTACATGTCTTACAAAGCCTGTATTTTAATTGTTATTTAATTGAAGAAAACGTCAAAGTAATTGTAATTGAATTAATTACTTTCTGAAGTAATTGACCCCTTACCTCACTGGTATATTGTAATACATTAGTATCCAAACTAGATGTACTGATATATTATGTGTTACACTTTTGTGAAGTCATTTTGTATTATAACCTTCCAAATAAATTTGATGTACTGACGCAAGTGTGTTTAAGTTAAATGTACTGATTTAGTGCACAATAAGTCTAGAAATTTTGTTTCGTTACGTTCCAGGTAAGTCACGTGTACTGATATAGAACATTTCCCATTTCTAGCCATTTTGTATCATTACCTTCCAGGTAAGTTAGATGTACTAATGTAGTACACACCAGGTCTAGTACCATCAGGGGACCCATACATATAGAAAGCCAATGTACCACCATCCATAAGGGGCGGAGCGGCCTCAATCCTAATATTTAAAAAAATATGTTTTAATATCAATTCTCTGTAATTATCAAAATTGGTTGGCCACGCATAGAAAAACATTTTGATTTTTTTTATAATAATTTTAAACAGCTATGTCATTAATTGTAAAATCTAAAGTGGGTTTATGAAATAGACCCTTGGTTGCCATAGAAACGGGGTGCAAAATTCTCAATTTCGTTAATTTTGAAAAACGTGTACTTATCAAGAAAAACTGTGTCCAGAAATGAAAAGGGATAACTTAATATGTTTTCATTATTTAAATTTAATACTACAGATTAAAGTAATTATATCTGTAGTTTTAATTTAATCTCTCAATAGTAAATGGCCATTTTACATATTATAACATATCAGATATGTGATTGGTTTAGTGGAGTTTTTGGAGGGTTAAAACAAAAAAGGCACACTGATTACAAATTTAGTAATAATTAATTATGAAAGGCTGATATTTGATTATATCAAAATATGTAAAATATTGGTGGGAGACTCAAAGATGTAAAAGGAATTCAAAGGTAAAGATTACTTTTTTCTACATTTTGAAGCATTTTTTGCTTCCTAATTACTTCCCTTGAACTACTCTCTAACGTTTGGAGGTACAATGTGTATTTAGTAAACAGCAGTGTACATTTTCTGGCGAAAGATCTCATCAAAGTTTTACAGTCTGGAAGAAGAAAAGAAGGCTAGACATCCTAAACAATGAAGACAGAAGGTAAATTTATGTATATACTGAGCATTACAAAAATATCAAGATTAACCAATGCATATTTTCTTAATTTTATTTGCCTTACAATACACAGTTGTTTTACCGGTAGTGGTCAGTGGTCCTTATCAAATCAAGCGAACTATACCTTTTGACAGTTTGACTTTCTGACCAATGAATTAATTATTTTTATTGATAAAAATGAATTTGAAGCATATAAACATCACTTGCTGATACAGCTGAACCCCCACCCCTTCCCCGAAATATAAATGTCTATATAGAGATTGTATAAAATCTGTGCCATTCAGTAGGTTTACTTTTTATGATGTGCTGAGAGAGACTTTTAAGTGAACATTATTTATCTTTATAATATAAATTTCCACTTCTGTCAGTTTTCATTCATTGTTTATCCTATTATTTCAATTCTTTATTGGCATTAGGCACATATTTTACAGAATTGTGCTGTTAAAATATTTAACTAGAGCAAGTTTGTTTCTATAAAAAAAAGTGCATCAAACGTTTATAATGTGTGAGCACAAGCATAAAGTAGCTAAGTTTTTTAAATAGTATTCTATATATCAGCGAAATATGGTCATGTGATGTTCATAAGCAGAAAATAGGAAAACAGCATGTTTGTTTTGATGTCATTGTTTTGTTTAATAGCTTCTATCTTTTAAACTTTAAATTTATTATATATATCCAAAAATGTACTATATGTATTGACAAAATAGATCTAGGTTAAGAATGCACTGGAAATATTGAGTTATTTTTGTTTATATAGACTCTTTCATTCGTCTGTAAAGTACCGGTACTGTATACTCTTTAGTTCAATTTTGTGTGAATAATAATAATCTTTTCAAACAGCAAACAATAAAAGATATATATGTACACTTGTACATATATATTAGTGATAAACAAAATTTAACTAGAGGTACTGTGAGCAATGAGCTCACTAAATGATACCCCCTGCCTCCCATATGGTTATAACTGATGACAAATCCATGTTTTACTGTGGCCGGGAAACCCAAAATATGTGTCGAATCAAAAAGTAACATAGGAGGTGCACAATGGCAATATGTAATAAAGATTCTGTGAAAGGTTCGTTAAATTTCACTCATTGCAGTGGTATAAGAGGAGTTGCGGATAATAAGAGATGGGTACCCTAAAGCGTAACAGACAGACGGACGTAAAGACAGATGGACGTACAGCTAGACGGACATACCGATTACAGTATACCCTACCACTTTTCAAGCGGAGGGTATAATAAAACTATATACATGTACATGTAGAATATTCACCTCTGATTTATAATGATATTTGTTTTATACAAACTGACCATGTTTTATAATATTCTAAACAAATTATTTGATACTCAGGCAAATATTCACTACTGGTAAGATGATCACACACATGAACATGTCTGTGTATGAATGAAATGAATTTTCCTTTTGATCATGTTCCTAGGAAAATAATTATTTTCATCAATTTTCCATCAAAGGATTTACCATATAAGATGAATAAAGAAAAAGTAAGACCAGTAAACCAAAACAGGACCAAATAGGCCGTGACTGAAGTTCAAGTGCATTCTGCAAGAAAGTGGACAACCTAGATTTTGTTCTTTTCAAGGTAACCATTCTTAAAATATGAAAGTAAATTAAGGACAGATGATACAAACAAAAAATGGATGCCTGGATTGGTATATATTTTTTGGCATAAATTAATTGCAAATTAATGATGTATTTATAAATTTCTAAAATATTAAGAAATTGTAAACCTTCTGTGATGTTCAAAAGTCTGCCCTCCTGAAACTATTCTTATTAATCTATACAAATATTTTTCACTTCAAATTCCATTTTTATGCAAATATGAATTAAAAATTAAAAAGTACTTGAAGAAAGTTATTAATTTTACTGATTTAAACATGACCCCAGTTGTTATTTTCAAATTCTTTGACAAAAGTTTGTTTGTATCATCTGTCCTTAAATAGTTAAAAAATATTTCAGTTTTATATCAAAATTTAAACCTTGCTTATTTCTTTTTTTTTTTAAACAAAATTTAATACCTGTCCAGTAACAGAAGAATTTATTTTACTAGAATAAAGAAAACAACTTTCTAAAGGATTACATATACATTTAATTAGCTTGAAATCAGTGTATATTGGAAAGTGCAGGAATTATTTACCATTGCAGGTTGAGAAGGGATGCCATATTTTAGGTTTGAAACCAGGCAAGTGAAAGCTGAATTCCAACCTACTTCAACATACTTGTACCCACTGTCTTCAAGATATCAGTGTTTGAGATGTCAAAGTTTCAAATATAACAGGAACATGTTTATCATATTATGTGATGGCATCCTCAAATCTTATGCTGTATAACAATATGTTTTAGAACTTATCAAGCTTTATCCTGTACCTTGCCAAAAAAACTCAACTCAGCATAATTCTCATTAACTAATTATCAATGTTACTTGCGTATGTCAATGTAGGTCATTACTGGTACATGCCTGACCAACAAAAACTCTAAAATTGAAAAATCAGAGACAAGATTTTCAGAGCAGCAGAAACAGTAGAATTTGTCACGTAAATCTAATGATATGTACCGTAGTTGAGAATACATGTACTCTAAATGTTGCATATATAAAAAATAAAAAAAGCGAAAAGTTCTCTTGTTTTCAGAATTTATATTTACATGTTAAAAAAAAAGAAAAGGAGATTGATATAGTTGGTGTGATGAGATGTTGGCAGGAACCTAGTAAAATGACAGGAAGAACTTCGTTAAAATGATACTTGTGGGGGACAGTGTCTCATGGGAGGGGGGGGGGCATTGTTTCAACTGACTTTACAGAATACAAAAGATCCATTGCAAACCTAATTATTAATTATATGCCAAACACTATGTTTAAAGTTTTCCATTGTTGGATATTTATGTTTAAATCCAAGATAACTTACCCAAGAGGATGTGATTTGTTATTTTAAACCAATGTAATTTTTCTCAAGTTTAAAGCCGTGTTTCATAAGTTTAAAAGAAAAAAATCAGAAGGGGGGGGGGGGGGGGGGTAAACTTTTGACTTCATTCAAAGTATCTGTGGTTTGCAGTTGCCCATGAATTTAATAAATATTTATACAAAGTAATAAGTTGAAATGAGTAAAATATTATGAATGTCCTGCTTGTTTTAGTTTCATTTCAGAATTTTTTAAGTTTGACCAAATCTTGAAAAAGTAAAAGCCACAAGGTTTTGCAATTATTTGACATAGCATTACAAAATGCATTATATACTGAAAGGAAAAAGAAACGCAGGGTAACATAATTTTCGATAAAAATTTGACCACATGACCGAAAATTACGAAAATTGGTCAGAAGGGAAATTTAGTAACAGTGCATCAAAATCAGTATTCAGAATTACTCAACCGTAAAATTTATGACGTCACATAGGGAAAACGCTGAAAATCCCAAAACACTTGCAATTTGATAACGACGTGTTTGTCAACAAATCTTTTTGCATTATTTGATGCATATGAGGTATGCACATCGTTTTTCAATATTAAGACACATTATGAATTTATTGCAATCTTGGCACAGTTTACGGAAGTTCAATGGGGTCTTGTTTTCGAATTGCCTAATTAATGAAAAAGGCAACAACGGTTTACTAAGCAGTCTTTTGTAAATTTTCTCCCATAAAACTTTTTTACCCGTTGTCAGATAGGGTCTGGAATGGTTTTCAATCAACCGTGACGATGACGATAACGCGAAACAAGGCCATGTTACGAGCGGGTTATTCTTCCTGCCATCTCTGAAATCGCCACCTTACTACAACAAAAACAGCAATTTATAGAGTAGACGATTATAATCATTACATTCATACGAAATTTGAAAGAAAACAATTCCGCAATTTGGTTTTTTGAGCCAGTCAACTTAGGGTTGTATTCCTCTCACTGGCGCATGCGCGCGCCGTTTGACTTATTTTTTGCGTGGTCACCCATGCTAAATATAACCAGGGTTTGAAAGATAAACACTCTGATGAAATTCCATGCAAAGGAGAAACAAGACTCTGACAAATGCACGAAATAGACATTGAAGATAATGAGAGTTTTCGATTTTCACTTTTGGGGGGTATCGTCATTTGAGCTTCAATAACTCACGAATAATTAGTCAAAATCATATGAGAACTTGGATATATCTTATTGAAAGATGATTTTAAAAGGTAGATAGGAAAACTAAAAAGTATTTTAAGAAAAACAAATTTAATTCACCTCAAAAGTTTACCCTGCGTTTCTTTTTCCTTTCAGTATATTTTTGCAACATCATAAAGATGCAAATTTAAGATGCCAAAAAAATTAGTTCACATTCTCATTTAACTCATTACACATGTTTTATAAAAGAGTAAATAAGTGTAGTTTTGGGAATATTGTTACGTTAAACGCAGCCATTTTGGTTAAAAATCTGGTATTCCTGTCTCCATGGTAACAAATCTTGCATTCCTGTTTCCATAGTAATAGAGAATGGATAGGGAAAGTTTTATTTCATATTAGTTACAATATAAGGGGATAGTTTCAGGAAACTTGAAACATGCCCTGGTTAGTCTACATGTACTTCAAAATTGTCAATTTTACGGAAAGGGGGGGGGGCATTTTGTGCAGGTGTTCACAGTTCTCCTATCTAAGAACATATTCACATGTATTAATGCTCTTGGAAATTGGATATGAATATTTTTACATGACACTTCTACTAGATATGGACTAATTTTACTGTAAATGACATCAAAACAGGTAGAAAGGAACATTTCTTTTCTATATGAACTAAATGAAATGTGCATATGTTCCTTGAAATACGGAAATTTTGCAGATTTTGGGTAATTTTTCATCAGCTTTTTAAAAAAAAAATGTTTAAGTGTCCCATAAATATTTTAATGTGTTTAAACTAACTTATGTACCATCTATACAATGCACTGTTTCCTGAATTTCAAATCAGTGTGCAAAGTATGAAAAAATCGCTTTGAAAAAGGGTCTAAAATGGTAATTTTCTCAATTTGGCAAAATGCCAAAATCCCTAAAGCTAAGCGTTGTTAAGCCATTATGTAGAATTACAGTTTTTAAAAAATTATGTTGTTATACTAGAGAGGAATAATGGTAGTTTTGAAACAAAACTAGATTTTCCCATTCTCTTGTTTCTTTTAAGCTCATTTTTATTCAGTAAAACCTACAAAATCACGTTTTTGGTCAGATTTTAGGAAGAATTTACAGGGGAAACAATAGGTGCCGTTACCATGACAACGAGACATTTTTTGAAATAAAAAAATATAAAACCATTAATGATGTGACAATGTGAGTACACACAAAAAGTTTCATAGAAATTGAAAATGTAGCGTGGCCAAGCATTATTGATATTGTTTGATAATTACAGAGAATTGATATTAATATTTTCCCTTTTCAGTAAAATCTAGTTTACTGTACCGTTTAGAATTTAAATAAGAAAAAGGTACACAATAGATCTCTATGCATTTCAAACTGTAGACTTCTGATAATAAATGGAACTGATTTTTTTATTAGTGTACAAACACAAAGCCTGGTACACTATGATTTAAAAGCATTTCAAAAGCCAAAAACTTCCATTTTAAGAAATAATTTATATGCATTAAAATTATATTCATCGACAGCCAGAGAGAGAAAGACAGAGAAAGAGACAGCCAGTTTATGTACTTCAATTTTGAGTTCGGGAACTCCTTAAATAAAAGAGGTAACTTCGGTTGAATTTTCTCAAAACATGTCATCCTTACAAAATCTATAAGCTCTTCCTGTAAAAAAAAATATAACACATGTACTGTAAGAAGTAACATACGCGCTGGAAGAAATCTTATAACATTTCCTATAATTACTATTTAACAACTATATGTATTTCATGTATTAGCCATAGCATCTGTTAAACTTTGGTAACTTGAACACTTATAACTCTATTACTATGGGGATTTGGAAGTGGGTTGGAAGTCTCCATGCACCAAATCTTTACCAATAAGTATTTAACCTTTGTTATCTCGAATACTTAGATATCTTAAAAGTTTTCTTGACCCAATAAAGTTCAAGAAAACGAAGTTTGACTCTACACAAAACAGGACATGAACCTACAGGAGTTTTAAAGTGGAACTCATCCCTTATGGAAATGTCTTCTTTAAACTTCCTTATGTCTGTTCCAAATCCTTCCTCCTGGGTAATCTTCTTCATTGCCTGTGTGATTCTCTCTACCTCTTCCTGACCTACGTCAAACACTTCCTTTGGGGTCATTGATAGAGAGAGATGAAAATCCAGACATGCCTGATATAGCTCCTGACCATTAGGGAGGGAGGAAGCCGCTACATCAGAGCGCGTGTGCTTCATATAATCCTACAAATGTCACAGAGTAAGGCACTGTTCAACTATTTGAAACTCAGATGTGAAGATATCATGGCGGTCACAATGTTTTACAATAAATAAAATGTAAATGAATTTTCAAACCTTTGCTGTTATCTACAAAAGACAGTATAAATACCAATAATATTTCTTTAAAGCAAATGCATTTACATACATTTTCGATATATTCAGCCAATTCTTTAAATGCTGGTCTCACAAGATCTTGTACAATCTGCTTTGCTTCTGCAAAAAGTTTGTCTCTGAAGAAAAGAGAATTATGTGCATACAGGGGTATTTATGCTAGGAAAAAGAAACAAAGGGTAAACTTTTGAGGTGAGTTTATAAATTTTTTCCCTGCTGACCGGTTACACCAGCCATAAGAAATTATATTGTCTATAAATGTCGAAAAACAATGTGTATACCTCAAGTGCATCAAATGGTACACGATTGTTGACAAAATTGTCTTCATCAATTTGCACGTGTTTTAAGTGCTTTTAGTGCACATTAACTAATATTCTTATCTGACCAGTTTTCGTAATTTTTCGTCATGCGGTTAAAAACTTTCAAATTTTATGTTACCCTGCGTTTCTTTTTCCTTTCAGTTATTCACATAAGTACATATGAAATTCCAGAGAACTAACATAAAGATAACTTTAATCAATATTGCTGATATCCTTGTTTTTTTCTTCAACTTGTTTATCACTTTATCAATAGCTTGCTTTGTTTCAGAAAGTTTTCGTAAGTAGAGCACACACTTATACAACCAGAAAACGTAAGCCCCTCAATATGGTAGTGAAAATGGTATACTGCTACATGTTTTCTTCTCATGTGCAAATTTTGAATAAATTTTGCTTCATGTCAATACAAAAATTGTTCCGCTAAAAACGTGCACAGTTTGCACAGATGGGGATTTTATAGATTGTTGGAAGAGAAAGACCATGCAAAAATCCAAATAAAATATGGAAATTGTCAATCAAAAACTCGAATATTTATAAATTATCAAGTTATCAACTGAAAAGAACTTGTTTTTGTACAATCAGTATATCTTTTTTAAAAAGTAAATATGAAAATGACAAGATACGTATAGATAATTATAACAATTCCATTTTTAATGAAAAAAACGGCTGTCTATGATGTCCAAAATCCGGGACTTTTAATTTCTTGAAAGGAATGCTTGTATTATAGAAATAACAAACAGTATTTAACTCAAGAATCCATTGAAATAATACAAACTAGAAGCACTAGATCTATAAAACATCAGAGGTAAAATCAGATGTCATGGAAGAGTGAGAATCCCTTGCTGACGAGACACAATCATCAGGAAAAAAGTCTGCAGACAATTTAGTGTGTATATAATGGCCTAACAATTAATCTAAAAAATGTCTATCACCTTTTGACTTAATAATAGATTATTGTGTTTTCCCTGATAAGGTTATTGTATCAACCACAAAACACATGACTTAAAATAAATTGAAACTCTAGTTTTATCAACTAGTTTGTCAATAACTTACTCCCTTTTAGAAATTGTTCATATGTAGAGTATGCTCTTGCATATTGAATCAAATGAGATATATATACCTCATTTGCGGGTGATGTTATATTGCTACATAAGTAAGAAAGTTGATACTTTAAAAGTTATCACATTTATAGTTTTGTAAGGTTGTAAGTTTTGATGTTATTAATTTCGACAAAACTTTTGCATTTTAAAATTTTCTAAAAATTTCTTGAAAGTTTTAACATTTAAGAATTCATATCTGTTTATTGTTTGAAGCTACTTGTCAAATATATTGTTGTACAGTACTCCTCAAGTTTTTCATTCACTTTTGTTGAAATTTAGTGAGGAGTAAAGAAAAGGGGTTGGACTAGAACGTTTACCGGACTCTTCTAAGTATCTTTGTTTGAAAGAATTTTTATGCAGTTTAGGATTTTACTAAGGCTTGATAATTTAAATTATTTGCAATTCTTTAGGGTTTTTCCTATCACATCAAAAAATATATATTTGCCTTACTTTATAGACGTTTCTATGGATCCCTCAGGGAACGCTTTGTATGGAGAAAGAAAAGCATCTCTTTCTGGGCTAAGCTCAACATTGATCATGTTAAAAATCTGATCTGGCACACCTTCCTAAATTGGATAAACAATAATTATAGACCATTTTGTACTTCAAAATCAAATTGAATTAACTGTTTCTTAAACGTTATCATATTTTTGGCCTTCTTTTAATCTTAAATAAATCCCACTGAACTGTATTCATTTCTGAAGCTCATATATGAATATCCTCTATATGAATATTAAATTGGATGAAACAAAACAATTTGAATAATCAGTGTCCATTTATAAGTACTTATCACATTTTTTACAATGAGTATATTTGAGAAAAATACATTACTTACTATTGAGAGAGGATGGAAAACATATCCATTTTTCACTCCCTCCTTTAATATCTGTATACAAGACCTTGCCTAGGAGAAAGAAATACCTTCCCCTAAATAGGTGACACAACTACAGAGGGCTTAAAGAAATATATCTCCTCAAAGTCATGACACAAAGTTTTATTCATATCACTCATACATGTTTAAGCAAAAAACTGATACTTTACAGGCCAAGCATAAATTTGGTCCATTTTGTAATTTTGGAATAAAGTTCCTATGAATAATTTTGATCTCAATGTCTTTTTTTTTTTTTTTTGAATGAGATAAATACAACATATATCATACACTCACTTTCTGTCCGTAACCTTCTATTCTTTTATTGAGATTTCTGTAGTCTTCCTCTGTCTTTGTTGGACACACACAGATAACTTTAGGAATATCTGCATGCAAGCCATCCATAAAGGTGATTGGAAAATACCAACTGAAAGAACTCCACTATACAATATTCATTTGCTACTGGGCTTCATCAATATTCATGCTTTCCACCACCTTTGTATTCAAATAATATTTGGACTTTATTCATATAAATTAGTTCATGTATATAATTATATTTTTAAAAACATCAATATTGTATATTTTTTAAAAATAATTTAAGAACTGCTGTCAGACTTGAGGTAACTATTCCATGTACTGCTGTTTATTTGACTTTACCCCTTGTGCTTCATTCCAGCCAAAAAAGTCTGCAACTGGTCTTTCACAAGTAAGAGTTCATCTCTGGCAGGTTTTGATAAACCCTTTACCTGAATAGTATCTGCTTTCTTTATAAGCTTGGAAACATCTTTCTACAAATTAAGAGAAAATATATATTGATTCAGAACTTAAGTATATTAAGTAGTCTTTAGCTTTCAAAATTAACTAAATAATTCATGTGAAAGTATAGTTTTCAAGATCTAACTTTGTACAAACGAGGGTTGTCCAAATAGTTCGTGGACAATGACGTTTTTGTCAAAACAAATGGTTCTATATGCATGTATTGTATATCAAAATATTTCTTATGAAAAACCAAGTCAGGATAGTTTAATTTTTATCTAGGAAATTTAATATTTTTGTAAAAATCATCGGGGTCTTTAAAGATAGCAGATTGTGCGCACGGACCAGTCTGACGTTAAGCTAATTTCATTATAACGTCAAACATTTGGATTTTGACTTAACACATGTTCATGGATACACACTTCATTTCTTTTTTTAAGGCGCAACGTACTTCCAAGTGCTCGCAATAATCTTTAAGTATAGATCATAATTTATCTAATTTTTAAAATTCAAAACAATGCACAAAAATTTACGAGCGTCATCTAAATAATCAGTTTGTATACACAGACTGCACAGCCCAGTCTGACGCTGCGCTAGATTTATAACAACGTTATAAATAGAAATCTCCATTTTCAGTAAATTACATGTGTTTTTAAATTCTTGTAGTGTCTTCGAATTTGTACACACAGTTGAAAAATCGTATATACCAATCTGAAATATATTTCAATAAATTTGAGTTGTTTTAACAAATATTTTGTCTCTTACATTGTATCAACCGTATAAAAATTAATTTTTTGATCGGACGCTGTCCCGTGCAGACGGCCGAGGTCGCTTTTTTTGTCGAGTTTTGACACATATTTGTTAGGGTTTTTGTTTAGTATTTGTACTGTCTATACAGTAAGCGATACTTAAGATATCGTAAAATGGTTATAGCCTCTTTATTTGTGTTTCATAAATTTTTTATAAATTTTTGACTTGTCTTATTTAGAAAATAATAATTTTAATCCGAGCACTTTATATCACAGTTAATGTCATTTTAACCTTGGTTCGTGCGCATTATCCGCGGCCTTTAAAGACCCCGATTTTTACAAAAATATTACGTTCCATCAACAAAAATTAAATCATTCTGATTGGTTTTTTTCATAAGAAATATTTTGATATACAAAATATTTATACAGAACCACTTATTTTCACAAAAAACGCCATTGTCCACGAACTTTTTGGACAGCCCTCGTATATAATAGTTGAAAAAATAGTTTAACTATTGCAATTCCAAGGATATATGAATCACAGTGTGCTTTTTTTAAAAAAAATAGACACTTTACGAGGGTGGTCCCAAAAAGTCGTAGTGATGTCTATGCAAAATTTGGTTAGTATTTTTTGCATGTTTAAAAATTAATAGACATTGTCTATGACATTTTGGGACAACTCTCGTATTTCTAAAACATATGTACTAGAATGTTGGTTTTTAAATACCAAAGATCAGCCTGATTTACTGTTGGCATGTAGTTTTTATATACAATACATGTTTATGATTTACTCTTTATGAAGGTCTTTAATCATAATAAAGGACTTTATTACCAATTAATACCATATATTTTCTTGTGTGTTTGCATTACCGGGGCTTTGGATGCATGGACATTTGAGACATTTATCCCCTATTTGGTGGATAAGCTCCCATATCGGTTTTTTTTACTGACCAAATCATATTTTACTGACCAAATGGTGGACTTTTTTATTTTATTTAAATTTTTTATTAAAATAAAGCAAAAGCGCATTTGCAAAGGCATTGGAGAAATTTAGTGAACATATTCATCGCACAATTAACATAGTTCAGTCTATTTTCCAGATTGCAATTTCTCCGTAATTTAGTGAAAAAACGATACCCATAGTTTTCTGTAACAGCCGAACTTCTTGATCAATCGATCAAAGAAAAGATAGGTCTGACCTGTTGGATAAAATTCAATTTTATCGAATGTTTTAACCCTTGATGAGTTAACTTGCAATCGCTCTTTCGATCTTCGTCAATATTTATCACCATAAAATCCCGTAAAACACGAGCTCCTCATACTTTATGGGTATGGTGGGCACTAACTGCTATAAAGTTCAATTTTTCTAAACTTGAAAGAAATACCGGTATGTCTGCTAAATGTTGTTTGACTAGTGTGCTGGTGTTGGTGTCTGTGTGCTTGTCACGTCTAGTTTTCAGCCCTCTCCACTGGCTAGTAGTTATGCGAAAAGGGAAGCAATTTGTAAGTCTTCCCCTGCCAAAACATAGCCTCTCAACAACTAGGTCCTTTTCAATGCCTCCACGCGGAAGCAGACGGATACTGGGCACCTTTCGGCCCCAGGTTAAATTCGCAAGGGCGCACGGGAAGATTATGATCGAAACCCTAAGTAGGCAACGGTCGGCAACTCATCTAGGATAAAAAAAACTGATTACAATCCGGATTGAGTAAGAGGCCGTTAGTAACTACTATGCCCCCCCCCCCTGGACATAAACTTGGAGGTTGGATTCGCAGGAGGCTAATCACCTCCTTCCATAACAAAAAATTGATTACGAAACCGTTACAACAATTAGTACCACTAAAGGAAGGGCAAGCGCGACATGTTAATTCCAGATGAGGATTACCTTCATTGGGAATTCGAGAGAATAACGGCAATGACGAAAAGCCGAGAGGACTCTA